TAAGAAGGCATTCTCCTTCCTTCACTGCAGAAGACAGTATTGCCAGGGAGAGAGAATGGGGCAGGCTTCACAGCATGGAGCAGAGAGTAGGAGTCAAAGAACTTCAAGGACTTTTAGTGTTTGCAGACAAAATATTGGCAAGCACTTTCTCCTCCCTCCCACACCACCACTTGCATGCATTCACCAGGTTTTCTACGGACAACAAGGAGGAAGGTTGGGGTGATCCTGATTCTTCCATCTCTGGAGCTCTTAGGAAGAGCTGGAGACTCAGTACACCAGACTAGATGCCCCATCCCTGGGCCCAAAAAAGAGGAAAAAGCCAACCTGCAAGACTTCTCTAGCTGCCCTGGGACTGTCCCATCCCACAGCCAAGCCTGGCCACAAATTTTTTAAAAAGACCATCGTTCTGGAGGGAGCAGGGGGGCAACAGTTCTTCTAAGCACTGGCTCTTGGTTAGGCAGGGATCCCAAAGGAGAGCTCACCACAAATTCCTGACGTCACCCAGAATGCCAGGGAACCAAGAAGCAGCAGCATCTTCGGGGAGAAGGAGCAGCCCAACATGCTTCTGCTGAAGAAGATTGAAATGAGAGCACGCCTCAGGACACACGTGGATACCTGCCCACAGTTCCCAATCGAGGAAAGGGCAGGACCAGAAGACTGGCCTGAATCCAGTCCCCCAAGTCTTCCCTTTCGCAATATTCCCCCATGGACAGAAGTCCTCTCCTGACCAGAAGAAATGGGATTGGTTGCCTGGTATCTGGGGCGAGTCCTGGATTATTAAAGAACAGATGAGATGGGTGTATGCTGAACACCCTGAACAATGGGGAGAGACCTGGTAGGTCAATGGGGGAAGGAGGAATGGCCATTAGGTAAAGGAACAGAGAGAACCCTGAAGGGCATTGAAGGGAAGCAGACACTGGGAAGCAGAGGGAGGGACCAGTGACACAGTAAGAAAATAACCGAAGCTAATAAAACGCAGTGTGACTCCGGCAGATCCTAGCAACCTAGCAGCAGAGGATATGAATACACAAGCAAGGAGCAGGGAAGAAAGTCAGTGGATGGAAAGTTTTGAAAAGGAAACATCAGGAAGAAGGAATTCTGGCCAAACTGACCCAACAGGATTTTTGCTGGAAGGAGAGTGCTGAAAGCTCTCTGGGGGGTTGGTGGAGAAGGAGGAACCCAAGTTGACAGTAATCAGAGAGCAGGTGAGCAGATGGCAGAGAGAGAGTCTGGTGAAAGAACGGAGCAGGGGCTGGAGCAATAGCATAGCGGGTAGGGCGTTTATCTTGCACGCAGCTGACCCAGGTTGGATTCCCAGCATCCCATATGGCCCCCCAAGCACCGCCAGGAGTAATTCCTGAGTGCAGAGCCAGGAGGAACCCCTGTGAATCGCCAGATGTGACCAAAAAAAGAAAAAAAAAAAGAACTGACCAGGATTCTTGCTGAAAGGAGGTGAGGCGGAAATGAGCCTAGAGCCTCAGAACTCAGGGTTTAGTTTAAAAATTCAGGATTGGGTAGAATTCTCTCAAAGAGAAAAGCTTTGTGCATAAAAGGAGAGGCCAGGGGCTAACGCGATGGTACAGCGGGGAGGGGACTTGCCTTACATGAGGTCAGCCTGGGTTCCATATCCAGAACCCATATGGTCCTCCCAGCCAGCCAGGAGTGATCCCTGAGAACAAAGCCAGGAGTAAGTCCTGAGAACTGGAGCCAAAGACAAACAAAAATTATTAACACACTTCCAGGAAAGTTGTGTTTGAGTGTGTATGGAACTAATGCAGATGTACCAAAATCTTCCTGTCAGTCTCTCTAGCCCACACAGGCCCTTCCTGGATGGTATGAAGGCTAGATGACAGAACCCAAAAGACAGTTTTGACTCGGGTATATTAACCTATTTATGCCCTTCTCTCTTCTTCCTGTTTCCTGTTGTTAATGTTGTTGTTGTTTTGGGGGGAACCACATCCCATGATGCTCAGGCGTTACTCCTGGCCCTGCACTCAGGAATCACTCCTGGTGGGCTCTGGGGACCATATGAGATGCCAGAGATGGAACCAGGGCCAGCCACGTGCAAGGCAAGCGCCTTCCCCACTGTAATATCTCTCCAGACCCTCAGCTGTTTCCCATTTAAAAGGACTCCTTTGGTGCCAAAAGTTTCCCTAATGTTGATAATGTAGCACGAAGACGGTCGAGTTGATGACCCACTCGGTTGTTATATATTTATTTTAATCTTCACAATAATCTTGCATTTAAAAAAAACATATTCAGAAAGAGGATGAAAATACCTAAGCGGTAGCCATTGAAATACAGCAACATAAAAGGTAGATGCCACTGAGCATTTATTCTACGTGACTTACATGAATGAACTCAATCCTCACTGCAATCCTATAATTGACTGTGACACCCATTCTACATATGAGGAAACTGAGGCACAGAGAGCCTCACCCCCATCCAGTGAGGCACAGAGCTAGTCAGTGGTAGAACAGAAGTGGACTCTATCATCCTGGATTTGAACTCAGTTCGATCTGTTTGGTTCGGGGCCACACCGAACAGGTCTCAAGGCTCACTCTGTGAGGCCGAAGTGGAGTCATGACAGGCGCCACTTTAAGACCAAAGCTCAGCAGGCCTAAGTCTCGGTTTCCCCCATCAGAAAGTCCTGACTTCTCAGAAAACAATATCACCCTGGACCGATAAACCAACCCATGGGAACAGCCTATAATAGGGGTATGGGCAGTGACACCAAGCCAAGCAGAGAGGGCCTAGGGAGTGGAGTCACAGGATCCCACAGGAACCAAGAATTGGAAACACAGTGTTGGTCCCTGGAGTCACAGAACCAGACAGGGCCCAGAATTGGAAACATATGCCAGTTCCTAGAAAAATGCTGTTATGTAACCAAACCCTATATAAACTGCTCAGAATTCGGAGTGGGGGTCCTTGTCAAGACTCCACTGAGATGGATGAGACTCGGACCCTAGCTCGAGCTGGCAATAAAGGGGCCTTGCATTTGCATCCTCTCGTCTGGTCTGGTCAAAGTAGGAACAAAACTCCCTTCCTCGGACATAACAACTCCTGGCTCTGCACTCAGGGATCACTCCTGGAGGTGCACAGGGAACCATATGGGGGTGTCGGGCATCCAAGCTGTGTGCAAGGCAAACGCCCTCCCCACTGTACTATCTCTCCGCCCTGAACTCAGATCTTTCTAACTGCGCAACCCATCCAGTTTTTGGCCTGTGATCAGGCAAAAAACGACTTAAACATCTCCGCAATCCATCCCTCTCCCTGCAAGGACACTGGGCGGCTGCAGCACCTTAGGGGGCGCTCGGACAAACCCCACAGGCGTGCAACCCCCGTGTTGGCACCAGGTGGCGGAATCCGCAAAAAGTCTGTGTTCAAGGGCCGGTCAGAGCGACAGTCCAAGCGAGGAGTGCTTGGTGCTGCCTGCGGCTGGTCCAGGTTCCATCCCCGGCATCCCATCAGGACCCCCGAGCACCGCCAGGAATGAATCCTGAGTGCAGAACCAGGAGGAACCCCTCAGCATTGCCGGGTGTGACCCAAAAAGGAAAAGAAAAGAAAAGAAACCTGCGTTAAGAGGCCCAAAGAAACAGCCCCTGGCTCCCGCCCGATAGAGTCGACGGAGTCGCAGAGCCTGTCGGAGTTCCCGGTCCCCCGGGTCGGTTCCACTCGGAAGCCGGGCTTCTGAGGTCCACTAAAACCCAACAGCTTGGGGCTGGAGCGATAGCACTGTGGGGAGAGCGTTTGCCTTGCACGCGGCGGGCCCGGGTTCGATTCCCAGTATCCCATAGGGTCCCCCGAGCACCGCTAGGAGTAATTCCTGAGTGCAGAGCCAGGAGGAACCCCTGTGCATCGCCAGGTGTGAGCCAAAAAAAGAAAAAAAAAGTACGTAAAAGTGGATTCTGGGGAGATAATACAGCCGGTTACATGCTTGCTTTGCACGCAACGGACCCAGGGTTGATCCTCTGCACCCCATAAGATCCTCTGTGCCCTGCCACTAGTGATCCCTGAGGCAGACTCAGAAGTAAGCATTGATGGGCGTTTGTCTTGCATGCAGTCGACCCGGGTTCGATTCCCAGCATCCCATAGGGTCCCCCGAGCACCGCCAGGAGTAATTCCTGAGTGCAGAGCCAGGAGGAACCCCTGTGCATCGCCAGGTGTGAGCCAAAAAAAGAAAAAAAAAGTACGTAAAAGTGGATTCTGGGGAGATAATACAGCCGGTTACATGCTTGCTTTGCACGCAACGGACCCAGGGTTGATCCTCTGCACCCCATAAGATCCTCTGTGCCCTGCCACTAGTGATCCCTGAGGCAGACTCAGAAGTAAGCATTGATGGGCGTTTGTCTTGCATGCAGTCGACCCGGGTTCGATTCCCAGCATCCCATAGGGTCCCCCGAGCACCGCCAGGAGTAATTCCTGAGTGCAGAGCCAGGAGGAACCCCTGTGCATCGCCAGGTGTGAGCCAAAAAAAGAAAAAAAAAGTACGTAAAAGTGGATTCTGGGGAGATAATACAGCCGGTTACATGCTTGCTTTGCACGCAACGGACCCAGGGTTGAGCCTCTGCACCCCATATGATCCTCTGTGCCCTGCCACTAGTGATCCCTGAGGCGGACTCAGAAGTAAGCATTGATGGGCATTTGCCTTGCACGCGGCCGACCCGGGTTCGACCCCCAGCATCCCATAGGGTCCCCCCGAGCATCCCCAGGAGTGATTCCTGAGTGCAGAGCCAGGAGGAACCCCTGAGCATCGCCGGGTGGGACCCAAGAAGCAACAGCTCCCAGCGCCCGAGAGGCAGCCCCTCCCACCTCCCACCTCCCAGCGGGCCCCGCCCGGACCTCTGCCCGCGGAACCCGGGCGGGGACGCCGCGGCGCGGTTCCCATGGCAACCCGGCGGCGCGGCCCGTCGCGCTTCCGGGCGGCGCGCGGCAGTGACGTCACGGGCGGCTTTCCGGCCGGTGGCGGAGTGTCGGGCCGAGGGTGCGGGCGCCGGGCGGGGGCCGCCAATGGGGGCGACGGGCGACGCGGAGCAGCCGCGGGGGCCCGGCGGGGCCGAGCGGGGCGGGCCCGAGCTGGGGGACGCGGGGCCGCTGGTGCCGACGGTGAGGGGGCGCGCCGGGGCGGCCGGGCGGGGCGGGGGGCCCGGGCGTGTCCGCCGGCCGCCGAGCGGGCCCCGGGAAACGCGGCTGCCTCTCTCCGACCCTTGCAGAAGGCGCGGGGCCGCGACTCTGCGGGCTGCACACCTGCCCTCGGCCGCCCCCAGCCCTCGCGCCGGCCCCGCGGTGGGCGACGCGGCGAGAGCGCCCCGGCGGGCCGCGCCGCGGTGACCTCCGTCCCTTGGTCCCCACAGAACCCGTGGAACATCATGATAAAGCACCGGCAGGTGCAGCGAAGGGGCCGCCGCTCCCAGATGACCACGAGGTGAGGCCCGGGGGCGGGGGGTGGGGGGCATCGCCCCAAGGGACGTGCCGCCGAAGCTCGGGGTGGCCCCGAGGGGTGCAGCGAGGCCCCGAGTCGCAGCCCCCAAGTCGGTGAAGCCCGGGGTAGCCCCGAGGGGTGCAGCGAGGCCCCGAGTCAGAGCCCCCAAGTCGGTGAAGCTCGGGGTAGCCCCAAGGGGTGCAGCGAGGCCCCGAGTCGGAGCCCCCAAGTCGGTGATCACCCCAAGGGACGTCCCGCCCAAGTCGGTGATCACCCCAAGGGACGTCCCACCGAAGCTCGGGGTGGCCCCGAGGGGTGCAGCGAGGCCCCGAGTCGCAGCCCCCAAGTCGGTGAAGCTCGGGGTGGCCCCGAGGGGTGCAGCGAGGCCCCGAGTCGGAGCCCCCAAGTCGGTGAAGCTCGGGGTAGCCCCAAGGGGTGCAGCGAGGCCCTGAGTCGCAGCCCCCAAGTCGGTGATCGCCCCAAGGGACGTGCCGCCGAAGCTCGGGGTGGCCCCGAGGGGTGCAGCGAGGCCCCGAGTCGGGGCCCCCAAGTCGCTGAAGCTCGGGGTGGCCCCGAGGGGTGCAGCGAGGCCCCGAGTCGGAGCCCCCAAGTCGGTGATCGCCCCAAGGGACATCCCGCCCAAGTCGGTGATCGCCCCAAGGGACGTGCCCCCGAAGCTCGGGGTGGCCCCGAGGGGTGCAGCGAGGCCCCGAGTCGCAGCCCCCAAGTCGGTGATCGCCCCAAGGGACGTCCCGCCCAAGTCGGTGATCGCCCCAAGGGACGTGCCGCCGAAGCTCGGGGTGGCCCCGAGGGGTGCAGCGAGGCCCCGAGTCAGAGCCCCCAAGTCGGTGAAGCCCGGGGTAGCCCCGAGGGGTGCAGCGAGGCCCCGAGTCAGAGCCCCCAAGTCGGTGAAGCTCGGGGTAGCCCCAAGGGGTGCAGCGAGGCCCCGAGTCGGAGCCCCCAAGTCGGTGATCACCCCAAGGGACGTCCCGCCCAAGTCGGTGATCACCCCAAGGGACGTCCCACCGAAGCTCGGGGTGGCCCCGAGGGGTGCAGCGAAGCCCCGAGTCGGAGCCCCCAAGTCGGTGAAGCTCGGGGTGGCCCCGAGGGGTGCAGCGAGGCCCCGAGTCGGAGCCCCCAAGTCGGTGAAGCTCAGGGTAGCCCCAAGGGGTGCAGCGAGGCCCTGAGTCGCAGCCCCCAAGTCGGTGATCGCCCCAAGGGACGTCAGGCCCAAGTCGGTGATCGCCCCAAGGGACGTCCCGCCAAAGCTCGGGGTGGCCCTGAGGGGTGCAGCCAGGCCCCGAGTCGGAGCCCCCAAGTCAGTGAAACTCGGGGTAGCCCCAAGGGGTGCAGCGAGGCCCCGAGTCAGAGCCCCCAAGTCGGTGAAGCTCGGGGTGGCCCCGAGGGGTGCAGCGAGGCCCCGAGTCGGAGCCCCCAAGTCGGTGAAGCTCGGGGTAGCCCCAAAGGGTGCAGCGAGGCCCTGAGTCGCAGCCCCCAAGTCGGTGATCGCCCCAAGAGACATCAGGCCCAAGTCGGTGATCGCCCCAAGGGACGTCCCGTCAAAGCTCGGGGTGACCCTGAGGGGTGCAGCCAGGCCCCGAGTCGGAGCCCCCAAGTCAGTGAAGCTCGGGGTAGCCCCGAGGGGTGCAGCGAGGCCCCAAGTCACTGATCGCCCCAGGGGACGTCCCGCTGAAGCTCGGGCTGGCCCCGAGGGGTGCAGCGAGGCCCCGAGTCAGAGCCCCCAAGTCGGTGAAGCTCGGGGTAGCCCCAAGGGGTGCAGCGAGGCCCTGAGTCGCAGCCCCCAAGTCGCTGATCGCCCCAAGGGACGTCCCGCCCAAGTCGGTGATCACCCCAAGGGACGTCCCACCGAAGCTGGGGATGGCCCCGAGGGGTGCAGTGAGGTCCCGAGTCGGAGCCCCCAAGTCGGTGATCGCCCCAAGGACGTTCCGCCGAAGCTCGGGGTAGCCCCGAGGGGTGCAGCAAGGCCCCAAGTCGGTGAAGCTCGGGGTAGCCCCGAGGGGTGCAGCTAGGCCCCAAGTCGCTGATCGCCCCAGGGGACGTCCTGCAGAAGCTCGGGCTGGCCCCGAGGGGTGCAGCGAGGCCCCGAGTTGCAGCCCCCAAGTTGGTGACCTCTGAGCACCTCCAGGTGTGGCCCCCCCGGACCCTCCCCCCCCCCCCAGCACTGCTGTTTCACTGGCTCAAGTGCCTCCGTCCTCAGTCACTGGGCGTGGAAACAGCCCCCAGGCCCCTGAGCATTACTGGCGGGGCCCCTATAAAGACATTTTTAAGGGCGGGAGATAGTACAGAGGGTGATCCCTGAGCACAGAGCCAGGATCTGGGCATATGTGGAGGTGTCCTCTTCCCCCCCCCCCCAAAAAAGGAGAAAACAAAATTTGGACCAAGCCCAGGGTATGCTCATGGATCAATTCTGGTGGGGCTGGAGGACACTCAGCGTGCCAGGGATCAAATCCTGCTCTTAGTGTGCAAGAGCACACTTACCCACTGCACTGAGCCCCCGCCCACTCCCAAAAGATGTCATTAAAAGAGGCAGGGTTGTGTCTCAGCAGTAGCACTGTCCTCCCGTTGTTCATCGATTTACTCAAGCGGGCCCAGTAACGTCTCCATTGTGAGACTTCTTGTTACTGTGTTTGGCATATTGAATACGTCACAGGTAGCTTGCCAGGCTTTGCGGTGCGGGCGAGATACTCTCAGTAGCTTGCAGGGCTCTCCAAGAGAGGCAGAGGAATCAAACCTGACTAGGCCAGGCTAGGCGCGCAAGGCAGACGCCCTACCCACTGTGCTATCGCTCCAACCCTATCTCAGCAGTAGAGCAATATTTTTAATTATTCCCCTCCCTTTTTTTTTTTTTTGGCTTTTGAGGTCACAACTGGGGATGCTCAGGGGTTACTTCTGACTCTGCCCTCAATGTTCAGGGGACCATATTGGATGCCGGGGATGGTCCCCAGGTCAGCCAAGTGCAAGGCAAACACCCTCCTCACTGTACTATTCCTGCGGCCCAGATTATTTCCTTCTTTTAAATAAAGCTTTTTTAATTATCCCTCCTTCCCCTTGTTGCTGTTGTTCCCGGTTGTCGCTGTGACTGGTGTGCGTGCACACGCCCCACGGTAGTGCTCTTTGAGGCGTGCTCTCCTGTAGTTGCTGCAAACGTACATCCCCACTGTGCTGATACCCTTAGTGGCGCACACAGTCGTGGTTGTGGTGCTGCTCACATGGTGCACTTTCTCCTTTTATTTTGTTTTGGGACCACACTTGGCTGGACCCAGGGCTGACTCCTGGCTCTGTGCTCAGGAATCACTACTTATGGGGACCCCCCCTGGGATACTGGGGTTGAACCTGGGTCCGGCTTTGTCCAAAGTAAGTGCCCTACCCGCTGTACTGTCTCTCTCGCCCTCACTTCTTTAGTTGTGATGCTTGCACAGTGTAGCAGCCCTTTTTTGTGGTTCACACACACACACACACACATATACACACCCATGGAGCAGCTGGAAATGACAGAAATGAAGCGCATGCTCACAGATGTGGGACTCCAGGGATTTGAACTTGTAAACATTTGCTTGCAAGGGAGGTGCTCTGGGCCAAAAAAAGGAAATAATTTGGGCCGGAGGAACGGTTCAGCAACCCCCCCCCAAAAAAAAAAAAGACGTGGGGCTGATAGTACAGTGGGTAGGACACTTGCCTTGCACATGGCCATTCAGGTACCATCCCTGGCGTCCCATATAGTCTCATGCACGCCAGGAGTGATTCCTGAGGGTAGAACCAGTGATCACATCCAGGTGTGATCAATATCGATGCTGATCTAAGATGAAAATTTTTTACACTTATTTATTACCTATTTATTAAATTGTATGGACTTCCTGTGAACCTTTTATCTTGAATTTAATCTTGCTGTCATTCTTGTTTTTGTTTTGTGGGGACCACACCTTGCAGTGCTGGGGGGCTGGGGAGCACGTGGTCCAGGGGACAAACTCAAGGCCACAGACTCACTGGGCCTGTGCTCTACCGCTTGAGCTCTCCCCCCAGCCTAATCTTACATTCACTCTCTTAGAAGCCAGTTATTATGTCCTAAGACTATGGGAAAATAATACCCACTACCTAGAGTTCCAAGGAAATGAAACTAAAGGCATGAGTCTCAGGTCTGCCCAGGACCCAGGCACAGGGCTAGTTTCAGGAGCACTGTTGGCTCTTGGCATGAAGGAACCCAAGTCGGGTAGATGAGCAGACATGGGTTTGGACAGGACCCGTGACTGTGTCTCCCTCCCAGTTTCACAGATCCTGCGATCTCCATGGACCTCCTCCGCGCTGTCCTGCAGCCCAGCATCAACGAGGAGATCCAGACTGTCTTCAACAAGTACATGAAGGTGAGGGGGGCAGGGGGCAGAGGGAAGAAGGCCCGTGCTCCGACCCCATAACATCGCTATTGTTATTTACAAGTACTTTGGAAGAGGGGCTGGAAAGATTGTACAGCGGGGAGGGCATTTGCCTTGCACGTGGCCAACCTGGGTTTAACCCTCGGCATCCCTTACGGTCCCCCAAGCACCACCAGGAGTCACTCCTGAGTGCAGAGCCAGGAGTAACCCCTGAGCATCGCTGAATGTGACCCCAAAACAGCAAAAACAAAATTATTTTGGAAGGAAAGTGGATAGAGACAGAGAGAGAGATAGAAAGAGAGAGAGAAATATGGCCAGAGTGATAACACAGCAGGTAGGGTGCAACCAACCTGGATTCAATCCTGGTATTCAGTAAGATCTCCTGAGCCCCTCCAGGAGTGATTCCTCAGTGCACAGCCAGGAGTAAGCCCTGAGCACTGCAGGCGTGGCCCTCTGCTCTCCTCCCCCCCCCAAAAAAAAAAAAGAAAACCAAATTATTTTGGGAGTGGGGGCCAGAGTGATAGTACAGTAGGTTAGCATTGCCTTGCACACAGCCAGCCTGGGTCTCCAGCACGACATATGGTCCCCCAGCCACCACCAGGGGTGATCCCTGAGCACCATCAGGTGTGGCCCCGAAACAGAATGCTCTGGGATGAGGAACCTGACTCGTGCTTTCCCTGCAGGAGCCCCAGGTTTGATCCCCAGCACTGCGTGGTCCCCCTAGTACTCCTGGGTGTGGTTCTAAAAGGAAAATTAATTAAATTATGTATGGACCTATCATAACCTTGTATGTGGCTCTACTCATACCCGAGCTCCGGATACTCAGAACTGAACACTTCCTAGACAACGTTTGTTTATTCATTCAAGCCGTGTTTACTCAGCACCTCGCATGCTGGCACCTTTCCGGGCCTGCGGGAGCTAGCGGGGAACAGAGCCATGTCCTGTGCGACTTTAGAGATCGTACACCCCGGGAAAGGTGGGAGAGTGGCCTTGTGGCTAGGAGGCCCCTATCAGAGGACAGACACCCAGATCAGGTGAGAACGAAGGCAGGCGGGTGCTTGACGCCTCGCACGCACCCACCTCCCCAGAGTGGCCTCAGCACACTGAGCCGGGAGAGCAGGACCTGAGGGGCCCGCGAGGCGACAGGGACCCAGCCCCTGCAGGATTCCTGAAGCCATGGTAAAGACTTGGGGTCTTATTGTGAATAAACGGAGGTTTCTGGAAAGTTTTGAGCAGAGTGTATGATCTTGAGATTTTCACAGAGTGCAACACTATGGCTGTTTCATAGAGAATAGACTTTCACAAGTAACAGTTCGGAGGCAGGTGAGGAGAGCTAGCAGTAAAGATGTCAGAAAGGGGGCTGGAGTGATAGCACAGCGGGTAGAGCGTTTGCCTTGCACGCATCTCACCCGGGTTTGATTCCCAGCATCCCATATGGTCCCCTGAGCACTGCCAGGAGCAGCTCCTGAGCTTCGCCGGGTGTAACCCAGAAAGCAAAAAAAAAAAAAAAAAAGTTTAAACTGTGTTAAAAACATAAATAAAATAGCATCTTTTTTTAAAAAAAAAAAAGATGTCAGAAAAGGCTGGGACCACAACCATAGCACAGCGGGGAGGGCACTGGTCTTGCACACGGCTGACCCAGGTTCAGTCCCTGGCATCCCATATGGTCCCGCGAGCACCACCAGAAGTAATTCCGGGGGCTGGAGCGATAGTACGATGGGCAGAGCATTTGCCTCGCACACAGCCAGCCCGGGTTTGATCCCCAGCATCCCATGTGGTCCCCCAAGCACCACCAAAAGTAATTCAGGGGCTGGTGCCATCGTATAGCAAGCAGGGTGTTTGCCTTGTGCACTGCCAACCCAGGTTTGATCCCAGGCATCCCAAATGGTCCCTTGAGGACTGCCAGGAGTAATTCCTGAGTGCAGAGCCAGGAGTAAGCCCTGAGCATGGCCAGATGGGGCCCAAAAACAAAAAGATACGGGACAGAGTCCTCTGTGGTGCTTCTCCCTAGTTCTTCCAGAAGGCAGCCCTGAACGTGCGGGACAACATCGGGGAGGAAGTGGATGCTGAGCAGCTGATCCAGGAGGCCTGTCGCAGCTGCCTGGAGCAGGTGAGACCCATGGAAACAGATGGGGGGGCACCCAGTGCAGCTCGGGGCCCTGATCAGAAAGGGGGCCCCAGGGGAACTGGGGGCCTGCCTCTCAGGCCCACTTAGCGCTTGGACCTGTTGCTGACGGCAGGGAAGGGAGTGGCCAGGCGCTGTGTGTGGTGGGTGCCTTCACATGCACCGTTCATCCCTGCCTCAGTGGTGGCTGAGGGACTCCGGGCAAGCTCACTGCAGCTCCTGCTTTGCAAGGAAGAATTGATCGAGCAGGAGTGAGACTGGTCGAGTTCTCTCTGGGAGGGTTTGGTGACGGGCACTAACAAGGTGCTGTAGCCCTTTTGCTGATTAGTGACTTCGGGTGAATTTAAGATAAAGGGACCAAACTGAGGACTAGAACCCGGGGACAGCGTCACATTCTCTGGGAAAAACGCTCCGAGGTGTTGGTGTGCGGCTTTCAGACCCGCAGTGAGGCAGGAACCATCACAGTGGCCGACAGCGGCTCCTCTCCAGAGTCTGCGTGGAGGCAGATACGCAGGGCCCTTCATTTCCCCTCACCTACCCCTTGAGCCCACTCTTCCAGGAGCTGGATTTGGACTTGGCGTTCCTCTTCTGCACATCCTGTGGGTTGGGGAATATCACTCTCCAGGGCGAGATTTCACCCGTGGTCGCTACCAATCTTCCAACATGCTTCTATTAATAGCAGTAGGGTATGATAGCAATCTTTATTGCTAGCTTGGGGGTCACCACCCTTTCCACCTCTGGCTCTCAGTGTGTGGCCAGGAGGCCCAGCATCAGGCCGGTCAGTGTGTTCCCAGAGAGCAGTGCACCTGTTAGTGTGCGTCCCCTGCTGCTATTAATAGAAGTTCTCGGCGTCTTGCAGACTCCGTGCTTACCCGTGAGACATTAGCCATCCAAGCTGGACGTTTCTCTCCAGCAGCCACAAGGTCTGCTTCCAGCTCCGTCCTGTGACTTGAGCGCCAAGGTCGTGCTTGGGGCAGGTTCCATCCCCACCACTGAGGAGCAGCACTCACCCTCCCCTCCCCCCCTTAGCCTCTGAGCATTGCTGGGCGTGGTCCAGACACCGAAAGGAAGGACAGTAATCGTGAGAGTGAATAATAAACCTGTTATTGATGTTAGAGCAGAGCAGCCTAATGAGATCGTCCCTTGAAGGGCCTGAAGAAGTGGTGAGTGTTTTCCGTCCAGGCTCTGACCCAACACCAAGCCCGTCAGGTGTGCCTCCAGAAACAACAAAAACAGCAACAACAACAAGAAAACCTCTCCTCCCTGGCCCCTTCACTTTTTGTTGTTGTTGTTGTTTTGTCTTTTTTGCTTCTTGGGTCACACCCGGTGTTGCGCAGGGGTTACTCCTGGCTCTGCACTCAGGAATCACTCCTGATGGTGCTCGGGGGACCATTGGGATGCCGGGGATCGAACCCGGGTTGGCTGCATGCAAGGCAAATGCCCTACCCGCTGTGCTATTGCTCCAGCCCCCCCCCCTTTTTTTTTCCCCACTTTTGAAGCCCTTGGTTTGATCTCTAGCCCTGCAGAAAAGGGGAGAAAATTTTCTCTGAATACCATGAGGAAATTGGTACAGAAGGAAATTCCAGAAACTCTTGAGTTCCAGTGAAAAATAAAGAATGGAGCGACGGGGAACTGAACCATTCCTTTGTGTCCAGTTTGTTCCTGTATGGGCACCTGCATCCCAGAGCTCCTTTCTGGTCATGGTGTGACTGGAGAGCCAGAGTCTCGAGCAGAAGGTCCCGTGCTACCTCCAGGCCACCGGCAGCCACTGTCAGGTCGGGGCCCAGAGACTTCTGTCCTCTTTCAACCGAGGCCAGGATGAGTCCCGCTGTCGAACAGTCTTCTCACCGCTCTTAGCCTCATTTTTAACCTCTAAAATTGGGGATAAGACCAGTTCCCACCACCAGTGGCTTGCTGTGAAGACTGAGAGAGTTGAGGCAAACTACAGAACATGTTAGGCGTTGTGTACGTGGTGCTCCTCTTCACAATTAGTAATATTGCTGTCTCAGTAAAGGTAAAGGTAAAGGCCCTCCCGTTGATGATTTGCTCGAGCGGGCCCAGTAACATCTCCACTGGAGACTTTGTTGTTACTGTGTTTGGCATATCGAATACTCTCGGTAGCTTGCCGGGCTCTCCGAGAGGGGCGGAGGAATCGAACTCGGGTCGGCCACGTTGGCCGCTTGTAAGGCGAACGCCCTACCACTGTGCTATCGCTCCAGCCCAAGACAAGCTTTGGGGTCTCCAAGTACTGTCTGAAGTCCCAATGTGCAAAACTGCCTGAGGAACTCCGTGTGGCAGTACAAGATTCTTCAGACCCAGCATCAGACCTTTTCCTTCATTTGCATAGAGTCAGGACTTGACTTGCTCGTTTTTCACTTCCGAGTACTTATCTTGGGCATCTCAGTGGTGTTGCCTAAAGTCCTCAGCTACTCCCTCCACCACGACCTTTTTTTTTTTTTTTTTGAAAGAATGACTTCTTATTAACACTTTTCTTGGGCATTTTTTTTTTCTGTTCATACAATATCGAGTAATTTTGCAGACTCTTGTTTTGTCATTTTATTTATGTAAATAATATACGTTCTTTAAGAAGAGCCCGGCATGAGGCCAGAGAGATTGTACAGCAGCTAGGGTTCTTGCCTTGCACAGGGACCAATCCAGATTCGCTCCCCAGCATTGCCTGGGTCCCCTAAGTACCGCCAAGAGTGATCCCTGAGCGCCGCTGACTAACCCAAAAAGCAAAAGACAAAAAGAAAAATGTTCAGCATGGTGGTTAAGAATGCAAGCTTTGGGGCCAGAGCGATTTGCCTTGCAAAGTACAGTGGGAAGGCATTTGCCTTGCACACAGCTGATCTGGATTTGATTCAGAGAGGTTTGAGCACCTCCAGGAGTAATTCCTTACTGCAGAGCTAGGAGTAACCCCTGAAAATCACCAGGTGTGACCCAAAAGCGGGGGGCGGGGGGGGGTTGAATGCAAGCTTTACAATATAAAATAAATCACTGTGACCCTGTTGCAGGGGCAGGCTTGACAGGTGGTTGGGAAAATTGGAGACAGTGGTGAAGGGAAGGTGACAGTCTGGTAGAATTGGTGTTAGAATATTCAGTGCCTTTAACAAATCATCATGAACAACTTTGTAAATTATAGTGTAAAAATAAAGTGTAGGAGAAAAAAAAATTATATACGTACACCTTAACTTTTTCATGTAAACTCCAAAATGGCACAGAATTTTTTTAAGTTTATCAGTGACAGGTAAGATATGATTATTACCATGACGAAATCCAAGTATAAAATAAAATTTAATGCAATATAGTTTAGATTCCAGTCTTAAAAACTTACGTAAATGAGAATAGGCATTTTATTATATTGCCTTAAATGGTTTTCATTTCCTTATTCGCATAGGTGAAAATCAGATAGCAATCCCAAATTGGCGCTCATTGGTTTATTTTTCTGATCATTCGGTTTGCCATTTCTTTAACCTTTGTTGGAGCAAACAATATAAAGTAAATTTGTTTTGAGCCTAGGGGGGCAGGTTGGGGTTGGGAGGAAAACTGGGGACTTTGGCGGAGAGAAGGTCACACTGGTGGCGTTGGAACATTAAATGCCTGAAACAACTGTATTATAAACAACTTTGTAAGTCACGGTGTTTTGATAAAAATAAAATTTTTTGAAAAAGAAGAATGTAAGCTTGTGCCGATGGCTCAGTAGACTGAGGGGGTGCTTTGCTTGCAAGAGGCCAAAGTTCAATCTCTGCACTGCCTCAGTTCTTTGAACACGGCTGTCAGGAGTGATCCCCACGCACCAAGCCAGGAATAGTCCCTGCACACCCCTGAGTGTGACCCAACAACACACCAAAAAACGCACTTTCTCTCAATGGAGTATATCCAGATACGAGTCCTGGCTTTACTGCTGAGCAGTTGGATAACTTGAAGAAAGATGCCTCACCTTACCAAATTTCAGCATTCTCATCAGCAAGTGGAATTCGAGTCTCTGTCTCATAGACTTATCCTGTGGATTTTAAATGGCAAGACTGGGGTCAGAGCAGTAGTTCAGCAGTTAGAGGCCCTTGCTTTTGCACGCGGCTGGCCTGGGTTCAATCCTGGGCGTCGCACATGGTCCCAGAGCCTGCCAGCGGTAATCCCTGAGTGCAGAACCAGGAATGGGCCCTGAGCATCGCGGGGTGTCACCCAAAAAGAAAACAAAAAGACAAAGTGGCATCTCCAGAGGGGCCTTTGCTGTCACTCCTTCTCAAGTAGCTCCTAGCTCACTCCCTCTCCCACTTCTTACCAGTGTCTTCACTCCATTTGTCTCAATCCGAGATTATTCACAGGTCTGGTTTCATGGTTTTGCTTCCCCTCGGCTGCATCTCACTGGCATCTTGATCTTCTCTGGGAGAAGGCCTGATCTTGCTCCGTAGGTTTTCGGCCTAGTTGATGACTCCGAGGTTGTGTATGCTGTAGCTTAGCAAAGAAATGGTTGAGCAAGTGAACCAGTAAGCAAACTGATGAGATTGGAACAAGTTTTTGCACTCACAGAACTTTCCGCTCAGGGCCGACGCCTACAGAGTAACTTGCGCCACCAACGTGCATACGTGTACAGTGGGACTTGAGCAAAGGGACACAGTGGGAAGGAGCGGGTAGATCATGAGTTCAGTTGTGAAGCTGGCAGTGTTAAACCACCCACGAATAGACAGGGTCTGCAGTTAAATCCGAGACTCAGAGGGCAGGCTGTAACTCCAACTGAAACGCTGAAGGCATCCGTTCATAGACGTGAGTGGAGGCTGGAGTACAGACGCAAGCAGAGAGGATGGAAGAGAAGGAACAGACGCGGGGGGCGGGGGAGAGAGAGGGGAGTCACTGGCCTCTGAGCTCAGGAAGCGGCCCCAAAAGCGGAGGGAAGGGCTGTGGGGAGGTCACTGCCAGCACCCCAGTCCCTCTGCTGAAAGGCCCCTTCTGTGTCCTCCCCGCTGGGTCCCATCCCGTGTGCTGGGCTTTTTGTTTTGTTTGGTTTTGTTTTTGTTTTTAACCTCCGACGCATTTCTCATCATCTGAGATCGCCTTGTTTCTGTATTTGTGTGGCTTATCGTCCAGATCGTTCTGGCCGTGAATGCCACAGTAGTCTGTAGGCATTGAGATTTCTGTTTAGTTGGTTGATTTTTTTTAATGTTGCTTATTTACCATTGTAGATTTTCTAACAATAATTATTACTATATTGAGTCTTTTAAAAATTAGTTTTGGGGCTGGAGCAATAGCACAGCGGGTAGGGCGTTTGCCTTGCACACGGCCAACCCAGGTTCAATTCCTAGCATCCCATGTGGTCCCCCGAGCACTGCCAGGGGTGATTTCTGAGTGCAGAGCCAGAAGTAACGTCTGTGCATCGCTGGGTGTGACCCAAAAAACAAAAAAGAAAAGAAAAAATTAGTTTTATCCCCAGTTCGGAGTTGAGACTTAACCTACTTTATGCTTGATCTTCCTCCTTCAGGCCAAGCTCCTGTTTTCCGACGGAGAAAAAGTGATCCCCAGATTGACTCATGAGCTTCCTGGGATAAAGGTCAGAGTCACTGTGTTCTGGAGTAACGGAAGGGCCGGGGGCAGGTGATTGCAGGACCCAGGAGGCATCCTGCAGCCTCCGTGTCCGCAGGGCCAGCCATAGAGGCCACCTGGCTGCAGCGGGGGCCAGGGAGCGGTCGTCCCCGCTGTCTCCAGCTCCCTGGCACTGCCCTGCCACCAACAAGCCCTCCCCTTCTCACTCAGCGTGGCCGGCAGGTGGAAGAGGACTGCGCCCTTCGGGGAAGCCCCATTCCCAAAAAGGTAAGCGGGAATTAGCTTCCTGGGTGCTTTCGGGCCTTTCCGGGCTGACCACTAGAGCCCCTCTAGAATCCTCTGTTCTGTCGGGAAACTCCTCCCCATCCCGCGCCCCTGGACTGGCCTGGGTGGGGGGACTCCCCTGGGCCGGCTTCTGACAGCTGTTCTCTGTGGCAGAGGAAGGGACGGCCTCCTGGGCACATCCTGTCAAATGACCGGGCAGCCGCCGGCATGGTGTGAGTAGGGGCCGCAGAGCTGCTGGGAGGGGCGGGTGGCTGGGCCCCCCGAGAGGCCAGCGGGCTGGGGGCTTCGCAAAGAGGGAGGGGCACTGGGACCTCGTACCACAGTGCGGGGCAAACTGCTGCCCCAGCTCCTTTTCTCGCTTGTTCTATTTGTTCGTTTTTATGGTTTTATGAGTCACTCCCAGCGGTGCTCAGGGCTTCCTCCTGACTCTGCAGTCGGCTCATTCCTGGGGGTGCCCCGAGAACCATACGTGGTAGTGGGAATCGAACCCAGGTTGGCCGCATGCTGGGCCAGCTTCCTACCCTCCACCCCTCCGGCCATCAAGTTGGTTGTTTCCAGAGAGATTTGAAACGACCTGTTTTGTTTTGTTTGTTGTTTTTTTCCCAAACAAAGTTCTATGTGGAAGCCTAGTATATAAAGTTCCGTATGTAAAGATAAAAGGTACAGTCTGGTTAAGCAGGGTAGGTGTGATTTGAAACCACCTACTTAGATGGAGTAGAATTAATCATCCAATCTCAGTTTTCTCTCTGGCCTGAAGCGGTTTCATCCGTCACAAACGCCACCAGCAGTTGTCACTGCTGGGCCCCTTAGAGGGGAAGAGGACGCCTCAGCACCATTCCTGGACTTGGCCTCGAGGCTAGGCTGACGCAGGGCCAAGGGTGGCCCCTGTGAGTCCCCTAACGGGCGCCAGGCAGGAGGACTCTGGGCTAACGAGAGGGTGTGAGGGGCTCCGCCAGCAGCAGCGAACTCTGGGCCAGCCTTAAGCCTCTCCTTGCCCAACTTACCTTTCTTCTGTCCTTCCAATCAGATGGAAACCAAAATCCTGTGAACCAATTCGCCGAGAAGGCCCCAAGGTATGATTAGGGGGCGTGGCGGCGACCCCTGTCCCACAGACTCTGGGGCCCCCACAGGGATCAAGGGCGGGGGGTGGAGCTGGGCATGTTGTTGTTCCAGAGCTGCCTGGTCTCTGCCCCGATTGCCCCAGCACTGGGCGCCCAGAGGGGTCTCGGGATTGGAACTGGGGGCAGAGCAGAGACGGGATTTGAGTCTTCCCACTCATCCGTCCTCGGAGGTGGGCGGTGACGTCACTGCCCCAAGTCTGTGCATGATCCCAGGCTCGGGAAGCCTTGCGCCATCCACCCTTACTCTTCTGTGGGTGAGGGGTATCTTTTCCAGCCAACCTCCCCGGTACAGAAACCCGTTGGTCTAGTTGCCTGAGGAGCTTGACACGCTTGGGGACAGTGTAGCCGAGAGATTGGCCAGAGCCGACCAATGATGGCTCCAGTCCTCCTGGCAGCTGCCTCTATTGGACACCACGGTGTCCCTTTTTTTATTATTATTTATTTTATTTTTATAAAGTTGTTCACAGTATTTGATTACATTTAATATTCGGATACCAGTTCCACCACCATTACACCTTCCCACCACCAATTGCCATCCCACGCCCCAAACCCTACCCCCAAAGCGGAACCGAAATACTTTATTTTGTATTGCTTGTTATGAATTACCCACTAAAAATGAGACCAGGGGCTGGAGCGATAGCACAGCGGGTAGGGCGTTTGCCTTGCACGCAGCCGACCCAGGTTTGATTCCCAGCATCCCATATGGTCCCCTGAGCACCTCCAGGAGTAATTCCTGAGTACATGAGCCAGGCGTAACCCCTGTGCATTGCCGGGTGTGACCCAAAAAGCAAAAAAATAAAAAATAAAATAAGACCAGTGAAGATTGTTGGGTTTCACCAGTCAGGAGCTATTCAGCCCTTCTATAAGCGATTAGTAGCATGTTGTTAAAGGTTGAGCCTTGTGTGCTTATTTCTATATCTGTAGAAATGTATTTCCCCCTACGATTGGTTGCCTTCTACCTTAAATTAAACCCAGTCAAGGGGCCAGAGCGATAGTACAGCGGGGAGGGGGTTTGCCTTGCGTCGTCTCCCAAGCACCACCAGGAGTAATTTCTGAGTGCAGAGCCAGGACTAACCCCTGAGCATCACCAGGTGTTACCCAAAAAGCAAAAAAATAAAATAAAAGTTAAAAAACAATCAAATGTGGTGCACTACTCTTGGTATATTGGTGGTGTAAAGTATGAGATGTCGTGATACGGCCGCCCCGTCCAGGAATACATTGACTCACGGGTGAGGCTCATCCACGCATGTGGAGAGCAGCCTTGAGCGGGGTGGCAGTTGAGTTCTGGAGATATTCAGCTGCCAGGGCTGGATCCGTTGAGGCAGGGAGGGGCCTTTCCCACCCACCTCTGGGTTCCCCTGGATTACACAGCCAGGCGCAGGGTCCGGCGGCATGGCTATAGGCATCTTGTTTTATGCTTTCTTCTGAGAGATTTATATTGAGTCTCTGGATCATGGCCGTTAATGAGATTATGTGGGGCTAGGGCAGCTTCTGGGTGTAACCGCCAAGCTACAGGGAATCGGGGGAGACAGGTGGGGGGTTCATCCATTCCATTCCCAGTTCCGTTTGAGCCTGGAGTTTTCAGTTACAAGTCCTTCGTACCTGGGACACCACTGGTTTCAGCCTCTTTTGCGTCCCCTGTTAGGAAACCTTTGATGGGGAGGGGTCCTGGGTCACACCCAGTGTATCTTAGGGCTACTCCTGGCTCTGTGCTCAGGGGACTCTGTGATGCTGAGGATCGAGCTAGGGTCAACCACATACAGGCAAGGCAGGGACCTTACTTGCCGTTCCATCTCTCCATCTCTTAGAGCAATGGGGTCCTTTTTCACTGGGGGGAGGGGGGCATGGCGGGAGCAGGGCCACACCCAGTGTTGTTCAGGGCTCCTCTGGGCTCAGTGTCCAGTCATCATTCCTTGGTGGAGATCAGGGGCCACATGGGGTACCAGGGAATCGAACCCCTCCCCCAGCAGGCCAGACCCTCTCAGCCGCCCTGGCTCCTGCCCTTGGTACCTCGTAGGCAGCCTTCCTCCCCTCCCCTCCGACACCCCGTGTGCCCAGCCCCCATCATCTCACAGTGATGCAAGGACACTGCACCCAGCTCCTTGTCCCTGGGCCTGGCCTGTTTCTGATTACTCGGTTTCGAGACTCATCTTTTGGGGAAGGGGCAGACCGGTAGGAGAGGGCCGCGGGAGGGCGGTTTCCATGGGTCCTAAAACTGAACCCTCGCCTTCCCACTCTCCTGCAGTGGGATCCCGCTCGCCTCAATGAGTCAACCACCTTTGTGCTGGGCTCACGTGCCAACAAGTAAGTGTAAGGGCCATGGTGCCGAGGCGGGGTTGTTGCCCACCCCGGCATCACAGCTGCCAGCAACCTTACCACTCGCCTGTTCATTGCAGGGCCCTGGGGATGGGGGGCACCAGAGGGAGAATCTACATCAAGCACCCACACCTCTTTAAGGTAGGTGAGTGCTGGGGGAGCGGGAGGAGATGGGGTGGGATCCGCCAACAGCACCAAGAAACCCGGAGCCGCTCTGACGCGGGAGTCCAAAACTGGGCGTCCCGGTGGCCCCTGTCTCTGGCCATCTGTCAATCTGTCATGTGCTCAGGGGGGTGGGGGGTGGTGACAGTCAGGAATACCAGCTTCCCTCGCATGCTTCCTCGTGCCCAGTAGAACTCATAGTTTCACATCTGGGTAAATGCCCGGAAGTGGAATTGGCCTTAGTGCCAAGCTGACATCTCTCCTGACCTTATCCCTCGCAGTATGCAGCTGACCCCCAGGACAAGCACTGGCTGGCCGAGCAGCATCACATGAGGGCGACCGGGGGGAAGATGGTAAGCATCGCTCCCTGGGGCCCCAGCAGAGGCCCGCCCAGGACCACCCAGCTGCCGACCTCCCGATTGGGAACCACCGCACTGCCGAGTGCTGAAAGCAGACACTGGCCCTGGACTCCCTGCCCTGTCCCCGGCCTTCCACGCACCGTGCCCTCCCTCCCTCCACATCCTGGCTGGACACGTAGACTCACTAGCTGTGCGGGAGGGTGGCAGGTGCGGGGCAGGGAGAGCAGAGCACAACTTCGAGTGTTAAGAAGCAGCACCAGGGGGCTGGAGCCATAGCACAGTGGGTAGGGCGTTTGCCTTGCACGCGGCCAACCTGGGTTGATTCCCAGCATCCCATGTGGTCCCCTGAGCACCGCCAGAAATAATTCCTGAGGGCAGAGCCAGGAGTAATACCTGAACATCGCTGTGTGTGACCCTGAAAGCAAAAAAAAAAAAAAAGACGAAGAAGCACCAGAAAGGAAGAGGGCCAGCACTGACATTTTGCTCCGAGCGGGGCTCTTCCTAGGCACCCTTGAATAGACTGGTCTGCTGTTTGCAGTGCTCTCCTGCCAACACAGCTGGGCTTGCTGGTTTTGTTTGTTTGTTTTTTTCCAGCTTTTTGGGCCACACCCAGCAATGCTGGGGGGTTACTTTTGACTCTCCACTCAGGAATCACTCCCGGTGGTGCTTAGGGGACCATGTGGGATCACTTCTAGTGGGCTCAGGGGACCGTGTGGGATGCGGGGGGCGGGGGGGGGGCGCCAACCTGGGTTGGCCGCATGCAAGGCAAATGCCCTCCCTGCTGTACTATCTCTCCGACCCCTGCACTCTTTTGTTAATAGTTTTGTTTGGGTTTGTGGTGGGGTTTTGTTTGGTTGTTTGTTTTTATTTTGGTGGGGCGGGGCACGGAATGTGTTGATGCTCAGGGATTACTCCTGGCTCTGCATTCAGAAATTATTCTTGGCAGTGCTGGGAGGACCATATGGGATGCAGAGGATAGAACACAGGTCAGCCTCTGCAAGGCAAACACCTTCCCCACTGTACTATTGCTCTAGCTCCCAAACTGCCTCTTTTTTAAAGAGGAGAGACTAAATTAATCACAGTCCCTACTCCCTCACCTATGAAGTTTTTTGTTTGAGTAAAAGACTGTCTGGAGGGGCTGGAGCGATAGCACAGAGGGTAGGGCATTTGCTTGCACACGGCCGACCCGGGTTCGATTCCCAGCATCCCATATGGTCCCCTGAGCACCACCAAGGGTAATTCCTGAACGCAGAGCCAGGAGTAAACCCCTGTGCATCGCCAGGTGTGACCCAAAAAGCCAAAAAAAAAGACTGTCTGGAGGCACTGTTGCCCAGTCTGTCCCAATTTCCTTTCCCCTACTAAATTGTTACACTGTATCCACCCCATCCTTCTGTTCCTTCTATTAAACAGATGTTTAATAGGGAGCTGGAGTAGAGTGGGTAGGGCGTTTGCCTTCAGGATGTTGACCCAGGTTTGATCGTGGGTTTGATCGTGGGCGTCCCAGATGGTCCCCTGAGCCCACCAGAAGTGATCACTGAGCATCCCCGGATGTGACCCAAAAGTCAATTTTTTTTAATTTTTTTAATAAGCCTAATAAACCTATGTTTAATAAAGTGTAAGTGGCACTGAAATGATTCAAAAGCAGTGATCACTGTCCTTTGCTCCTTCCCAGGCCTACCTCCTCATTGAGGAGGACATTCGGGACCTTGCTGCCAGCGATGACTACAGGTAACGCCAGTAGGTCTGATGTCGTCACCCCCAGCCCATCCACCTTACAGTAGTCCCTGGGATGAGCCTGGACACCCATGTTTCAACTTCTTCCGCACTGTCTGTTCCAGAGGCTGCCTGGACCTGAAGTTAGACGAACTGAAGTCCTTTGTCCTGCCCTCCTGGATGGTGGAGAAGATGCGGAAGTACATGGAGACACTACGGACAGAGAATGAGCATCGCGCCGTGGAAGCTCCCCCGCAGACCTGAATGGGTGGCCTGGCCAGTTGTGGCAGCCCTCCAGGGCGCTCCGACCCGCATGGCCAAGGCCTCTGCCGGACTGTTCGACCGTGGGTCTCAGCAACATTAAGCTGTGCCTGGGCTAGTCTGTAGTGAGTCATTACAGAGCAGCCCAGACGGGGCACATAGTTCTTTATTTGTAAAGTTATTGGGATAAGAAACAATTAAGCAGTTTGTAATAAAGACAGGTGGTGAACCTGCTATGTGGTCTGTGTGTGTGTGTTGGAGAGGGGTCAGTGCTGACAACATCCAGGGTCTCTGGAGAGGAGGCTCAGAAGGAAAGGCTGCCCAGAGGCCCTTCCCCAGCCCACCTTAGAACAGGAAGAGCCCACCGGCCCTGGGCCTACCCACTTTAGAAACCTTTCCTGGGCCTCTCCTCACCCAGTTAAGGTATAGAGATAGCGCCATGTGGTAGCTAGCCCCTTAGAAGACTGATGACAAACTGTCATTTTATTATAGGGCAGGATGTTGGACTTGTTTTCTACCCTGTAGACCTCTAGTTTTTTCCCCCTTGCATGAACTTAGCACTGTAGCGGACGCAGTAACCTCTCCATTAGTGAGACTTCTTGTTACTGTGTTGGGCATATCAAATATGTCACGGGGAGCTTGCCAGACTTTGCTGTGCAGGCGAGATACTCAGTAGCTTGCCAGGCTCTCTGCGAGGGACAGAGGAATTGAACCCTGCTCGGCTGGGCCACTGGCTTGCAAGGCAAATGCCCTACCCGCTGTGCTATCACTCCATCCCTGCATGAACTTAAGTCTCAGCAAAGGCGTGCAAGACATTAAAAAATGAGGAATGGGGGGGGGGGGGCTGGAGAGATAGCACAGCGGGTAGGGCGTTTGCCTTGCACGCGGTCGACCCGGGTTCGATTCCCAGCATCCCATATGGTCCCCTGCACCTCTAGGAGTAACTCCTGAGTGCAGAGCCAGGAGAAACCCCTGTGCATCGCCGGGTGTGACCCGAAACAAAAAAAAAAAAAAAGCAAAAAAAAAAAATGAGGAATAGGGCTTTTCACTTTGAGGGAGAGGTCACAGTGCTGTGAGAAGGGAGACCCGTCCGCAGAGAATAGGAGTCCAAGCCCGACTTGCCCGCCTGCCATTCAGAGACAGGCGTTGGATCGCCCAAGATTCATCCCACGTGGACTTTTCCTTGGTCCTTTAATGGTCGGCGCGTCTCCGAGGCGCCCCAATCAGCGGCAAATCCGTTGGTTAATGGCAGCCCCTCCGACCAATGGGGCCTCAGAAGCGGTACCCCGCCGTCCAATAGCAGCGCGCCGGTGGGTGGATCTATCCGTTGCACGGCGATTTAGCACTCTGGAGCGTCCTATTGGCCGGATCAAACCCAAGCGAGGCGCTGATTGGTCGGCTCTGCTCGAGGGTTACGATTCAAACGCGGGCGGGCGGGCCCGCAGCCCTGCAGTTGCAGTCGTGCTCCCCGCGGTCTTCTCTCTCCCAGCGCCGCCGGGATGGCCTCCCAGAACCGCGACCCCGCCGCCGCCAGTGTCACCGCTGCCCGCAAAGGAGCCGAGCCCAGCGGGGGCGCTGCCCGGGGCCCCGTGGGGAAGAGGTGAGTGTTGGGGAGCCCCACCTCCAGCCAGCCGGATCGCCCCTGAGCTCCTGGGCCGAGATCCAGGCCTTCCGGGACCCCCCGTCTCCTGGGAACAGGGTGGTCAGTGGAAGGTGGAGAGGACACGCCTGGAGCTCGTCTGCTTAGCGACCCCCCTCACTGCCCTCCCGCCCCCACCCCCCCCCCCAAGTGGGGATCTGCTGCCTGGAGGCCCCGCAGCCGAGCTACATCCAGGGACCCCCCCCCCCCGCCCCGGGACCTAACGGTGGGGGAGGGAGGATGGGAGAGACGAGGTCCCGCATGGAGAGAGATGCCAGGGGAGCTCGGAGGGGAAACACGCCCCTGCGAGTCCTGTGGGAGCCTGGAATTAGGGCGGCTGAGGAGGAGGCGATGGAGAGGAGCCCAGGCGCCCCTGACAGCTGCCCCGCACAGAATGGGGTCTGCGAGTACCACCTGGAACTCGGACCCACTGGGATTCCCAGGTGACTGCAATGCTCTGTTTGCAGGTTACAGCAGGAGCTGATGACCCTCATGGTGAGTGACATCCTGCCTGGATACCCAGCCTCCACCTGCCCCTAATCCTTTTCCTTCCTGCCCTCCTGCTGTGTGCTACTTGGAGGGGGGCGGGGAGGGGGGGCGGGGGGACGAGAGAGGCCCACCCAGGCCCCCACACCTACACCGTTTCTTCTGAGTCTAGGCTCACAATCCCATCCCCCCACGATCCCATTATCTCTGAAATACACTTCCTTCCTTCCGGGAAACCACACCACCGCCTTCCCCTGCCCTGCCTGGCCTTCCTTCTGTGCCCAGTTCACCTACCTACCTTGGTGTCAAGAAAAATCCTTTGGGACTGGCCTTTTTCTTTTTTTTCTTTTTTTCTTTTCCACCGAGTCTTAAGCTGAACCCCTCCGTCCCAGCCACAGCCGGGAGTCTCCAGGCCTGGGTGTGGCCTGCAGTCTGTAGCTTGTTGAATTGCCCTCCCAGCAACCAGCAAGGCTGGTGGTGGGGAGATCCCTCCCTGTTTATGTCTTTTTTTTTTTTTTTTTTGCTTTGTGGGTCACACCCGGCGATACACAGAGGTTACTCCTGGCTCTGCACTCAGGAATTACCCCTGCCGGTGCTCAGGGGACCATATGGGGTGCTTGGAATCGAACCCGGGTCGGCCGTGTGCAAGGCAAACGCCCTACCTGCTGTGTTATTGCTCCAGCCCCTCCCTCCCTGTTTAATTCCTCCTCCTTTCCCTGGTGATGATGAACCTCAGTCCCCACACGCCTTCCCACCGGGACTCGTTTGTTCGGTCCCAAGGGCCTAATCAGTCACTTCCACACAACAGCTTCTGTCTGGTCCGGCTGCTGCTTCCCCGCTACTAACGGTAGTATCCAAACGCCGATGTGATTAAAGGAAGGGGTTCCCCTTACAGTCCTCTTTTCCTACTCCCCAAAGTGTTCCCTCCCACCCAGCAGTGTTGCGTTTCCTCCCCAGATGTCTGGTGACAAAGGCATTTCTGCCTTCCCCGAGTCAGACAACCTTTTCAAGTGGGTGGGGACCATCCATGGAGCCGCTGGCACGGTAAGTTGGAGGGGTGAGGATGTGGGGGGGCCTCATGGCCGAGGGGCAGGGCCGTTGCTCTCTCCCTTGGGCAGAGCGAGGCCTCACACCATCGCTGCAGCACCCAAACTGCAAGGGAGTGCAGAGACTTCCACAGCTGTGGCTCAGGGGTGGCTCTTGCTGCTGGGCTGGGTGGGGGCTATTCTTGGCTCTGTACTGGAAATTGCTCCTGGCAGTGCTCGAGGTACCATACTGTACCCGGTATCAAACCAGGGGTGGCTGCATGCAGGACAAGCACCTTCGCTGCTATGCGCTCTCTCCAGCCCCACAAGTCTTCTTACATCAGAAATTCAGAATATCCCCTCATCTTCCATTGTCGGGCTGGAGCGATAGCACAGCAGGTAGGGCATTTGCCTTGCAAGCGGCCAACATGGCCGACCCGAGTTCGATTCCTACGCCCCTCTCGGAGAGCCCGGCAAGCTACTGAGAGTATCTCGCCCGCACGGCAAAGCCTGGCAAGCTCCCCATGACGGATTCAATATGCCAAACACAGTAACAATTGTCTCAATGGAGACGTTACTGGGCCCCGCTCAAGAAAATCGATGAACAACGGGAGGACAGTGACAGTTTCCGCCGTCAGCAGTTGATGCTTCCATGGGGCTGTCTTGTGCCCCCCGCTGGGTAAAGATGCCGCTTTGTAGCCCTACGTGAAAAGCTTTGAGTTGTCCCACACCAAATAGAGAAATTATCAGAACATTTGTTTGGGGAGGGGTGGGGCACACCCAGTGGTGCTCAGAATCACGCCTATGTGGCTCTGGGAATCAGATGGGGTGCAAGGGATCAAACCCGGATTGACAGCGTGCGAGGCAAGCACTGCCCACTGGACTATCTCTCCGGCCCCCAGAACACTGTCTTCTGTCTAATCCCAAACTGCAGAGGTCCCGGTGAGGCCAGACCTGCTCTGAATCTCTTGAGTACGGGATCTTACCCCGTCCCGCCTCCCCACCAGGTATATGAGGACCTGAGGTATAAGCTGTCCCTGGAGTTCCCCAGCGGCTACCCCTACAACGCGCCCACCGTCAAGTTTCTCACACCCTGCTACCACCCCAACGTGGACACACACGGCAACATCTGCCTGGACATCCTGAAAGACAAGTGGTCCGCGCTCTACGACGTCAGGACCATCCTGCTGTCCATCCAGAGCCTGCTCGGAGGTGATTGCGAGGAGCCCGTTGGCGTGCCCGTTCCCCCCTCCTCCACCCAGCACCCCCGTGACTATCCCTTTCTCCACCCACAGAACCCAACATCGAAAGCCCTTTGAACACACACGCTGCTGAGCTCTGGAAAAATCCTACAGGTGGGGCCTTTGTGCCTGGGCTTGGGGTGCCCTTCCTCCTCTCAGCGAGTCCAGGGGAAACGGCGGGGGATTGTCAACCCAGGGATCCCTATGCTGCCTCGGCCTTAGTGTTTCTGGCTTATTTATCGACCAGGCAGAAGTTTATTTCTGTTTAAGAACTGCACCTGACTGGGGCTGGAGCGATAGCACAGCGGGTAGGGCGTTTGCTTTGCACGTGGCCAACCCGAGTTTGATTCCCAGCATCCCATAAGGTCCCCCGAGCACTGTCAGGAGTAATTCCTGTGCATCACTAGGTGTGACCCAAAAAGCAGGGAAAAAAACAAAAGGGATTCTCTCCCATTCTCACCGGAAGGGGAGTTTCCGGCAGGTCTGCCAGGTGGGTGGGCAGCCGAGGGGACAACCGATGCTGGAGCCACCCCCCACCACAGCACCCCTTCCTCCCAGCCCGGCACTCACTGGGCCCATGGGTCCTCTTGCAGCCTTCAAGAAATACCTGCAGGAGACCTACTCCAAGCATGCCTCCAGCCAAGAGCCTTGACGCGGGGCCCGCCCCGCCTCCTGTCAGCATCTGTTCTTCCACTCGGCCGTCTGTCCTCCTCCTCCTCCTCCTCTGTCTCTGTACGGGACTCCGTGTCTCAAGCTGTGGTGTCATTTTTGTTTTGTTTTTGTTATTTTAAATTAAGTCTCGTTCAACCAACCCTTGTGATGAATATATTAAATAAATACATTTGGGGGGGCTTTTGTTGGTTTTTTTTTTCCCCTGGTGGTTTGGTATTTTGTGAACAACTTGCCACCTCTTGGTTACCCTGGGTCTGGAGTGCCCATTGGATGTGGGCCCTCCCTATTTCTCTCAGGCCTGCTGAGAGAAATAAGCATCTACTCCTGTCAGGGGCGGCCCAGCGATGTTCGCTCCCACTCCAGGCCTGGCAGACAAACACCCAGCACATGAGCTCTCTGCTCTCAGCTGCTGAAGGCTCTGCATTGCTTCCTCCTCTCAGACGGGCGTCCCTGCCCCCCCCCCCATAACCATCAGCACATGTGGAGCTGTACCCAGCTTTAAAAGGAGTTGAGGGGGGCTGGAGCGATAGCACAGCGGGTAGGGCATTTGCCTTGCATGCGGCTGACCCAGGTTCAGTTCCCAGCATCCCAGATGCCGCCGCCGCCACCCCCCCACCCCCCCAGCACAGCCAGGAGTGATTCCTGAGTGCATGAGCCAGGAGTAACCCCTGAGCATCGCCAGGTGTGACCCAAGAGCAGAAGATGAAAGGTTGTTGAGGAGGGAACTTATGACACACCTTTTCCTACCAACACCTTCAGAATGGCTCTTGTCTGGCCGGCTCCATGCTGAGGGGACCCTGGCCATTTTCCCCAGCACTTCCTGCAGGTGCTGCACTCACTGGCGCTTAGCTGCAGCTTCTGTGGGGGCCATCTGCTGGTGGCCTGCACCTGTCCTGAGTGGGGCGGGAGTGGTGGACCTTGTTCATCTGAGGTGAATGAACCCCAACACTGCCTCAAAGCTCCCTTAAATGGTTCCAGGTGGCTTGGGAATGTTCCAGCTGCTGTTGTGTGAATATCATGGCCCTGCAGGGAGGGCCCCATCTGGAAGCAACCACCGGTAGACTTGGAGCTGTCACGTCTGGGATTGGAACCAAGGGCCTCTGCTTGGTGTGTTCTGATTCGAAGGTCTCACTCAGATGTGCCCGGGGGCTGGAGCGATAGTACCAAGGGTAGGGTGCGTGCCTTGCACTCGCCAATCCCCTTTCGGTTCCTGGCATCCCATAGGATCTCTCAAGCATTACCAGGGGTAACCCGTGAGCACCGCCAGGTGTGGCCCAAAAGCCAAAGAAAACCTATGAGGAAGTGTGACCCTTATGACCATTGACCACGCAGACCCCACAATGTAGGAACGTACGCCTTGCTGAGTACAGCGACCAAGTGCAAGTACCCCAGTTAAGACAGGCACATGAGCAGACTGGAGCAACAGGATGGCTGGCATGGGACTCGCCTGGCACACAGTCAACCTGGGTTTAATCCCAAGCACTTTTTTTTTTTTTTTTTGCTTTTTGGGTTACACCTGGCCCGATGCACAGGGGTTACTCTTGGCTCTGCACTCAGGTATTACTCCTAGCGGTGCTCAGGGAACCATATGGGATGCTGGGAATCGAACCTGGGTTGGCCGCATGCAAGGCAAATGCCCTACCCGCTGTGCTATCGCTCCAGCCCCAATCCCAGGCACTTTAGATGGTTCCCCCAGCCCACCAGGAGTGATCCCTGAGCACTGCCAGGTGTGGCCCCAGAACAAAGGAGAAGACCATGGCCCTGTGTGTGTAGTGGAGAGGAAACAAGAAATGGAGTCATAACCACTACCGCCAACCAGTGGATTTCAAACTTTTTTGACACCTGGAGACCGGCCCCAATCCATGTACAGGTAATTGAAAACCATGAGTCTAGGGCATGGAGAGAGAGAACAGGGATTAAAGTGCTTGCTTGGAAGGCAGCTGACCTCAATTTGATAACAAGATACCACGTATGGAACCCCCCCCCCGCCCCAAGCAATGTAAGGAATGATCCCTGAGCACAGAGCCAGGAGCAAGCCCTAAGCACAGACAGACAGGTGTTGCCAAAAAAAAAAAAAAAACTAAAGAAAAATGGCAGCAATAGTACAGTGGGTAGGGTGTTTGCCTTGCATGCCGCTGACCTGGCTTCCATCCCCGGCATCCCATATGGTCCCCTGAGCAATGCTAGGAGTAATTCCTGAGTGCAGAGCCAAATGTAACCCCTGAGTATTGCCAGGTGTGATTCCCAAACCAAATAATTAAAAAAAAAAAAAAAAAAAAAGCACTGATCTAAAACAGAGGCAGCAGAGCCGAAGCATGTACAGTGGAGCAGGCATTTGCCTGGCATGTGGTCAACCCTGAGCCCCACCAGGAGTGATCCCTGAGCACTGTGGGGTATGACCCAAACAATAAAAACTAAAAAACAAAGTGAGCAGAGAGGGGCCTCCCTGCAGCACGGGTGTCGCCTGAGAAAGACGCAAATCCGGGCCTGAAGCAATAGCACAGCGGGTAGGGCGTTTGTCTTGCATGCGGCCAACCGGGGTTCGATTCCCAGCATCCCATATGGTCCCCTGAGCACCGCCAGGAGTGTATTCCTGAGTGCAAAGCCAGGAGTAACCCCTGAGCATCGCCGGGTGTGACCCAAAAAGCAAAAAAAAAAAAAGACGCAAATCCCTGCCCTGAGAAGGCCGGTGAAGACCACCCCTTCCAGGGGCTTTCGGGCACGAACCTCACCAACTCTGCAGCTCACACTCTGGCTAGATCGATGGGACTCAGGGAAATGGCATGTCTAGTCATCGGGAAGAGGTGAGCAGAATCTCTACCATGGCTCTAGAGTCAAACAGCCCCAGCAGGGGAGTCAGGAGCCAAAGCAGGTGGTAGTAGATGAAACTCTGTGTGTGTGTGTGTGGGGGGGGGGGGGGGTGGGAGGGGGAGGGGATGAGAAGAAGAGGAGGTGCTCTTAACCCCCTAACTTTTCATGAATTTTAAAAAAACAGGGGCTTAAGCGACTGTGGACTCAGTTCAGGTAGGGTCATCATTCGCCAGACCAGCCCGGCAGCAATGTGAAGTTAGAATAAAATACAGGGGCCAGAAGCGGCTCCGTGGCTAGAGTACTTGCCTTGCAGGGGTGAGGCCTGGCTTCCGTCCCCAGCACCACATGGTCCCAAAAAATGGCCAGGAGCCCTCTCCAAGCACAGAGCCAGAAACTCTGAATACTGCCAAGTGTTGCCCAAAAAACAAAATCAAGCAGATCACCAGGAGTGATCCCCAACCTGCTACTATCGCTCCAGCCCCTAATTTTTTAATTGTATATGTTAGTTCACCATGTTTGATTACATTCAATATTCAAACACCAAATCACCACCATTACACCTTCCCATCACCAAACTCAGGATATTTCCATCCCAAGCCCCAAGTCCTGTCCCAAAACGCAACCGAAATAATATATTTCATATTGTCTGTTAAGAAGAAATGCTGAGGGGCTGGAGCAATAGCACAGCGGGTAGGGCATTTGCCTTGCACGCGGCCAACCTGGGTTCGATTCCCAGCATCCCATATGGTCCCCTGAGCACCACCAGGAGTAATTCCTGAGTGTAGAGCCAGGAATAACCCCTGTGCATTGCCAGGTGTGACCCAAAAAGAAAAAAGAAAAAGAAAAGAAAAAGAAAAAAAATTGCTGAACATGCTTACAAAAAAGTGTTCATATAGGAAACAGACTACACTGTAATTTCTAACAAATCCGAGTGTCCCTAAAACTAATCACTGGAAGAAAGTGAAACTTACTAAGAGGGTTCTTGGAAAAGGGAGTCAGGGCTGGGTTCCATCCCCTGAGCACCACCAGCCGTACCCCACCACCAAAACAAAGGGGGAGATTGGGTAGCTGGCAGAAAGCAGTTAAATCCTGAGGGATAAGTAAGAGGGGACGTAGCGGGAGGCACTGTTTGAAGTTTGAAGCTCTGCCCTCCCATTCCTGCCTTGATCCAACCTGTGCCTTTCTAGGGTTTAAGTTTGTCCCCTGGAGGTTTCTGGCCGTTTGCTCAGATCTTGGCTTCTGAGTGAGAAGAAGCCTCTCACACTGTGAGAACTACAAGGTCTGATCATTATACCCATTATACCCTGCTGAGAACGGGGCATAAAGGGAGCAAGGGCACGGTCCCAACTTCCCCACGGGAGAGCAGGAGTTAGACATGGCAGCGGGTAGAAAGCGAAACAGGCCCGGCTCAGACCAGGATGGCAGAACAGCCGTGTTCAAATCCCCACTCTGGGGCCAGGCAGATGGCCAAGTCGTAGAGTGTGAATTCTCTAGGTGTGAATTCAGATCAAGAAACAGAAGTTCGGGAGCTGGAGCGATAGCATGGCAGGTAGGGCATTTGCCTTGCACAAGGCCAACCTGGGTTCGATTCCCAGCATCCCATAGGGTCCCCTGAGCACCACCAGGAGTAATTCCTGAGCGCAGAGCCAGGAATAACCCCTGACCATCGCCGGGTGTGACCCAAAAAGCGAAAAAAAAACAAACAAATAAATAAATAAGAAACAGAAGTTCAGGGTCCATCCCCAGGTCCCAGCGGCAAGGCTTAAATTCGGGCAGCCTGAGCCTGCAAGCCCCTGCCACCGCGTTTCTGGAGCGCGGACGGAACTCAGTGGGCAAGAGGGGTCTAGGGAGAGAGAGAGGAAGAGGGCGTCCGGGCTGGGCAGAGGAATTTGCCAGATTCCTACGAGGAAAGTTGGCAGCCCAGGAGGGAGAAAGATATCAAAGGCCCAAAGGCTTGCCGGCTTGGGAACAGAACAGAAATGCTAAACGGCCTGTGGTGTTACTTCCCAGCCCCCTGCAGGGAGACGGCCGGCTGGGAGCCAAGGAGCGAAGGACTTTGGATTTGATTCCAGGATCAACGGGGAGCCAGAAAGAGCTTTCAGCAGGCCAGTCTGTCCGCTTTCTGCAAGAGCTGCCCCCCCTCCGTCCCTCGCGCCTGCCGGACCGGGCGGGGGCTGTGGGGGGCAGCAGGCAGGGGTCCGGGAAGAGACAGGAGGTTGAGAATCTCCTGACCACACGCCCCGCCCTCCCCTTTCCGCGCCTGCTGATGTCTGGGAGACCAGTGTCCTGCCCACACTGCCCCCGCCCCAGCACCAAAGGACAAGCGCGACGCCCCAGAAAGGAAGGGCGTTTAGGGTGGGAGACGGCACAGTGGGCAGGGTGCTTGCTTCACTCACTGACCCAGGCTCAGTCCCTGGGATGCCCAGATGGTTCCCTGAGCATGGTCAGGAGTGACTCCCCGCCCATGCCCCAAAAAAGAAAGAAGAAAAGGAAACGGGTAGGGGAGAAGTAAGGGGGTCCAACCTCCTCCACTGCGGGGCCACCGCACTCCCTGACTCAGCTCAGGGGCCACACCGCCTGGCCTCCCCACCCCTGGCCGCGTGCAGCCGCAGAGTGACCGCGTCCGGCGGTACTGTCCACCGCGCACACTCTCCTCCAACCCCAGAGGGCGCTGCGGTGGCGCCGCGCAGGGAGGTCCCGTCCAGCCTCCTGCAAGTCCCCTCGGCCCTCCCTCCTCACACAGGCCACACGCTTTGCAATTTTTGCTTTTATTGTAGACACAGCCTGCAGGGGCCGCGCCTCCCAGGCAGGATGCGGATATCGGCTTCTTACTGCACGCCCTCCATCATCTTCAGGAACTCTGCGGGGTGGACGAGGGAGGCGGTCAGGGGGCTGCTCCAGCCCAGAGACCCCTGGGAATGGCCAGGCAGGCAAAACTCCAGGGGTGGGCGGGAGAGAGAGTACAGCTGGTAAGGGTGAGCCCCGGACGCCACCTAGCCAGGTTCCATCCCTGACATCCCCATGTGGTCCCCCAAGTGCCACCAGGAGTGATCCCTGGACGCAGGGCCAGGAGGAAGTCCTGAGCACCACAGGGTGTGGCCCCAAAACCAAACCAAACCGTGGAGAGGGGTCGAGAGGTGATGGCAGGGAGGGAGGGGGGGGACACTGAGGCCACTGAGGCTACCTGGGGTCACTCTCACCGTCAAAATCAATGCGGCCATCGTTGTTCTTGTCCCCGTCCTTCATGAGAGACTCGATCTCCTCGTCAGTCACATGCTCCCCGGACGCCCTAAAAATCTCAGCCAGTTCCTCGGCGTCGATGTAGCCGTCTGCGTTCCTTTGGGGGGTGGGGCACGCAAGGCAGGGCTCAGGACAGGCAGAGGCGAACTGGCCTGCCATGCTCCATGACACCCGCCCCACCCCAAGAACCAATGGGAGAGCTGGAGCAATAGCACAGTGGGTAGGGCGTTTGCCTTGCATGCGGCCGACCCGGGTTCGATTCCCGGCATCCCATATGGTCCCCTGAGCACCGCCAGGGGTAATTCCTGAGCGCAGAGCCAGGAGTAACCCCTGTGCATCACCGGGTGTGACCCATAAAGCAAAAAACAAACAAACAAAAAAAAACACAAGAACCAATGGGCCTGCAAGGGGGGGGGAAGTGGGGAGAGGACAAAGCCCCTCCCCCGCACACCTGTCGAAGATGCGGAAACACTCAGCCAGCTCCTCCTCGCTCTTGCCCTTGGCGTCCTCTTTCATCTGGCGCACCATCATGACCAAGAACTCTTCGAAGTCGATGGTGCCGCTGCCTGGGGTCAGGGGGAGGAGGTGGAGTGAGCCCCCACCCCCAGCCCGGGAGCTGCCCCCCGGGGACCTTCCCCTTGGCTGCTCCTCCACCGCCTCTCACCATCCTCGTCCACCTCCTCGATGATGGCGTCCAGCTCTTCCTTGGTGGGCGTCTGACCCAGCATCCTCATGACGGTTCCCAACTCCTTGACGCTGATGTCACCGCCGCCATCAGCGTCGAACATGTCGAAGGCGGCCTTGAACTCTGCCAGGGGAGGGAGGCAGAGGCTGATGAGAGCGGGGAAGAATCGGGGTGGGGGATGGGGGGTGGGGGGCCCACCCTCCCTAGACACAGGAGCCTTCCCCTGCATCCATCCCAAGGTGGGTCTGGCGAGGACCACCTGCACTCACCAGCGATCATCTCCTCGCTGAGGTAGGACCGGGCCTCAGCCTGCTGGTCCGTCTGCAGAAGACAAGGAGTGGGGGCGTGAGGGGCGGCCCCCGCCTCCCACCTTCACTGGGGGCCCCTACACCCCCCCTTCTGCAAGTTCCCTGGACTTCTACAAGAGCAACACCTCCCCACTGGCCACAGCATCGTCCTGCCCTCCCGTTTGAAGAACTAGGAGGAAACATAGGTTATGTCAGTCCGTTGTCCCAGCCTGGTCGAGGGGCGCTCAAGTGAGAAGTCCCTTCCCCAAACCTTGAGGTGAGTCATTTCATGCACCCTCCTCTCTTGTCAGAGGCTTTCTGGGGACAAGCTGGCATTCTGTCCATCAGGGAAAGTGCCACGGGAGGTTTTCTAGCCGACAAGTTGTGCCCCGAGCATCAGTGAATGCGCTCTGGCTCTCTCTCACCTCTCTCTCTCTCTCCTCTCCTCATCTTCCTCCCTCCCCGCAACACCCCCCCCTCCTTCACAGCCAGTGATGCTCAGGTGTTACTCCTGACTCTGCCCCCAGGAATTACTCCTGATGGTACTCAGGGGACCCTATGGAATGGAATGCAGGGGATCGAACTCGGGTCAGACATGTGCAAAGCGAACGCCCAACCTGGCACAATCACTCTGGCTCTCAGTGCTCTCTTACATGCTCATTCGTCTTAGAAATGATTTTATTGGAGGGGGGCCACACCTAGCAGCACTCAGGGCTTACTCCTGGCTCTTTGCTCAGGATCTGTCCTGACAGGCTCAGGGGAAGGAACCCTGGTTGGTGGTGTGCAAGGCTAGTGCTCTCCCCACCGTACACCGTATCCTCCAGCCCTTAAATGCTCATTCTCAGGTTATAGGGCAGCACGGCATCACTGAGCACCTACTTGTCCATGACAGAACCTAGCCTGGGTACCAAGGAAAGGCAGACCTGCCCTCCCTGCCCTGATTGGGCCTGAGCAATTGTACAGAGAATAAGGCACTTGTCTTGCACGCAGCTGACCTGGGTTCGATCCCTGGTATCATCCCCATATGGTTCCCCCCTGCACCCCACCAGGAATAATTCCTGAGCACAGAGCCAGGAGTAAGCTCTGCGCACTGCCGGTGTGACCCAGGAACTAAAAAAAATAAAAATAAAAAAAAAAAGAACCTGTTGAGGGAGATTTCTGTTGTTGGGTTTGGGGGCCACACCCAGCAGTGCTCAGGGGTCATTCTCAGTGGTGCCAGGGTGCCAGGGGAACCATGCAGGGATGGGGACGGAACCCGGATCACCGGCTTGCGAAGCAGGTGCCCTTTGTGCCTCCGCCCCGTCCTGAGACAGATTTTAAGTTTTTCTTATGATTGGGGTATACATTACAATGTTGTATACACTGGGGTATACAACACCCAGACTGGGCATGATGTGATGGGGGTTCTAGGGTATAGGGGTAGCTGCAAAGGAGATTTTCTAGGGGCCCACCAGTGGGGCTGAGGAGGAAAAGGCCCAGGGGACCTTCCTGGGTGCTCATGGTCAAGTGCTCAGGCAATGCCAGGGGCCAGTGATGACACTCACTCATGCCAGCATGTCCTTTTCCAGGCTCCCTGGCCCCTAGAATAGGGCTCTCTGCAGGGGGTGGGGGGGTCTGGTCACATCTAAGCTTGGACCTCGGGTGGCAGCGAAGAAGGGCTGGGCTCCTCCTTTGCCACCCCCCATGCCAGGGGACAGGCTATTTTTAGTCTGGTATGGGCAAGAGCAGCTGCCCTTGGGGTCCAGTTACTCCTTGAAGGGAAACGGGTGGGGTGGGCTCAAGGGGAGCTGGAGGTCCCAGGTCGGAACCTCTCTACTCCAGATTGGGGGGGTCCCTGCACTGGCCTCCCCTATCCTGCCCATTCCCAGCACCCTGCTTGCTCTTGGGGTCCTGGGCCACTCCGTGTGAAGAAGAGTCTCTTCTCCCCTCTGCCCAGGAGTCTCTGAACCAGCCCGTGAGTCCGTCCTTGCCTTTGGATTACTGTGTGGGTCACTCTCTGGCCCTCAGAGTCCCCCTGCCCCTCACCTTTGTGGGTCTGCAGGGACAGGCCAGCCCTGAGGCTCCATCCACCAGGCCTCCCAGCCCTCCCCTCCACGACCAGCCAAGGTCTTCCTCCCTCCCAGGTCCCCTGGATGTCTGACTTCCTCCGCACTCTCCTCTGGGCTCCTCCTCCAGCAAAGGACCCGGGTGGCGAAGGTGCCCACCCCTCTCGCCCTTACCATGGTTGCGGGACACTGGGAGCCTCCTGTCGCGGGTCACCTCCTCTGCACGCCGCCACCCAGGATGCCCTGGCCCCCTCCGGCCCCTGGGATTTGTAGGGGCACCCTCTGTTCCCGCCTCCTCTCTCCCCAGGACTCACACCTGACCAATCGGAGGCGGGGGGGGGGGGGCAGTGAGCCCCACCCTTCCCAGCCTCTGGGGCCCTTTACCTAATTTAGCCAGGCGCCCTTGCAGGGGGATTGAAGGCTGCGAGCAGGTGGCAGGCCCTGACACCCTGGAATCTTGGGAGGCGACTTCGCCCTGTGGCCTCCGCGGGCCCCCTCAACCCCCAGTAGTGTGCTTTCCCACCAAAGGGTAGGGATGATCAGAAGAATGAGCAGAGGGCTGGAGTGATAGCACAGCGGGAAGGGCGTTTGCCTTGCACGCTGCCCACCCGGGTTCGATTCCCAGCATCCCCTGAGTACTGCCAGGGGTAATTCCTGAGTGCAAAGCCAGGAGTAACCCCTGAGCATCGCTGGGTGTGACCCAAAAAGCAAAAAATAAAAATAAAGAGTGAGGAGAGTGACCAGACCCGCGTGTGAAAACTGTGCCCACGGGTAGGTGGAGAGTCCTCTCTGAGTTTCTGTTTTCTTCCCCTGCCCTTTTTTTTTTTTTTTTTTTGATTTTTTGGGCCACAACCAGTAGTGCCCAGGGCTTACTCCTGGCTCTGCATTCAGGAATTTCTCCTCCTGGTTCTGCTCAGGGAACCATATGTGTGCTGGGAATCAAACCCGGGTTGGCTGCTTGTAAGGCAAAGGTCTGGAATGCTGTATTATCTTACTATCTCTCCAGTCCCTGCTTTGGGTGTTGTTGTTGTTGTTGTTGTGTTTCCCTTGTTTGGGGGCCACACACCACTGTGCTCAGGGCTTACTTCTGGCTCTGTGCTTAGAGATCTACTCCTGGCAAGGCTCAGGGGGATTGAACCCAGGTCGGCTGCATGCAAGGCAAGCGCCCTCCCCCACTGTATTATTTCTCTGGCCTTCCTGCTTGAGGGTTTTTTTTGTTTTGTTTTGTTTTGTTTTGTTCTTTATCCTGAGGTGGGTAGAGTTCTCCCCTAGCTCACAGGAACTGTGGCAAATAGTCAAGGACAAGCCAGGGATTTGAATTCTAGATCTCTGGTGTGGAACAAACAGAGAGACTGTCGTGTGTGTGTGTGTGTGTGTGTGTGTGTGTGTGTGTGTGTGTGTATGTTGGAGGCACACCTGGTGGGGCCCAAGGGCTACTCTGAGCTCTGTGCTCTGGGGCCATTCCCAGTGGGGCTCAGGGACCTTGCCGTGCTAGGAATTGAGCTGGGATCGGCTACTTGCAAGGTGAATGCCTTTAACCCTGTAGTCTCTCTCGGATCTGGAACTTCCTCTTCAAGCCATGGGAAAGGGCAGGGAGCAGGGAGTGAGCGAGGAGGTGATCTCCACACAGTGAGTTTCTGAACCCTCCGGACCCCTCTGGACTGCCACACGCAGCGCCGAGCATGTTGACACATGATCTCACCTCGTGCTCCTTCTGTGAGGCAGTGGCTATTATTATTCCTCTTTTCCTGGGTAGCTCATGAATCAGAAAGGTCCACGGTCATGTTGGCAGTGCTCACGCTCCATCCCGACAGGCAGGACGTTGGAACCAATGGTCCCTGGAGTTCCCATGCAGGACAAATGTCTGGACAGGGCCAAGAGACGGCTGTGCATTAGAAGGAATGAATAGTGATGCCAGATCTTTTCCTTTTCCTTTTTTGTTTGTTTGTTTGTTTTTGCTTTTGGGGTCACACCCAGCAATGCTCAGGGTTACTTCTGGCTCATGCACTCAGGAATTACTCCTGGCGGTGCTCAGGGGACCATATGGGATGCTGGGGATCGAACCCATGTTGGCTGCGTGCAAGGCAAATGCCCTACCCGCTGTGCTATCGCTCCAGCCCCCTCCTTTTCCTTTTGCTTCCTCCTTCCCTTTCTCTGTGTGTGTGTGTGTGTGTGTGTGTGTGTGTGTGTGTGTCTTTCCCCTCTCTCGTTTTTGGGTTACACACAGCAGAATTAAGGGACTGTTCTCAGTCCCTCCTGGCAGGGGACCATGTGGTGCTGGGAATTGAATCTGAACCTCCCAAGTGCTCAGGAGTTGGAGAGATCATATTTCTGTCAAGCATTTACCTCACATGGGCCCAACTGAATTGGATCCCCAGCACCCCATAGGCTCCTTTGCCGCACCATACATGTGCCCCCAACATTAAAAAAATAACAAACCAGTGGGGTTGGAGCCATAGCACAGTGGATAGGGTGTTTGCTTTGCACGCGGCTGACCCGGGGGTTCGATTCCCAGCATCCCATATGATCCCATGAGCACCACCAGGGGTGATTCCTGAGTGCAAAGCCAGGAGTAACCCCTGTACATCGCCAGGTGTGACCCAAAAAGAAAAAAAAAAAACAAGAACAAAGAAAGACATGGTTTTTTTTTTCTTTTTTTGGAGCAGAGTTAGGCCACATCTGGTGGTGCTCCGGGTTCAATCCCGTGCTCCTGTGCTGAGGAATGATCCTGGCAGTGCTCAGGAGACCCTTGGAGACGCCCAGCGCCGATAGCCACAAGCAGCGAGCCAGGCACCTTATCTCCTGTGCTGTCTCTGGCCTCTTAGCCCCATTTTGTTTGTTTCATTGTTCTAGTTTTTCAGGTTTGGGGCCCACACCTGTGCCCTTGGCACCCATTCTTGTTATCTTAAGCTTCCCTTTCTTTAGGGAAAGGGTGTTCGGGTTTGGATTGCTTTGTGTTGGGGGGCCAAACCCAGCGACCTCAAGTCTTCCTCCTGGTTCTGCACTCAGGGATCACTCCTGGAGGTGCTTGGGGGTAGGTCGCAGAGGTGCCGGGAGCAAACACAAGTCAGCCAGGCTGTAAGGTGAGTCCCCTGCTGCTGTTCTATCTCTCTGGCTCAGGTAAGGGAGGGGACCGGAAGCAGGGGAAGAGGCAGCTGGCTATCTGGAGAGGACACACAGGTCAGGACTGAAAGGGGGAAGCCTGGGATGCCCCTGGCAGTACCATACCTGCCATGCCAAACGTGAGGCCAGAGTGGGCTGGGGTCCCCAGAGCCAGCCCACACGCCCAAGGGTGACCCCAGCAGCTCTGTGATTCCGGACCCTCGGGGCCACAGCAGATGTGTGAGCACTGCAGCCACCTGCATGTGACATCCGGTCATGTGCAGAAACGACAGTAGAGGAAGTGGGGGCCAGCGCCCTGGGGGTCCACAGGGTCCACACTGGGTGCTGACGGGAGGGGTGGACGGGTGTGCCAATGGGCTGTGGCTAAGATGGCAGGACAAGCTCTTGACCAGCACAGGCTGAGTCTGCGGGTCAGTGAGAGGGGGCTGGACACGAAGCAAGACAGATGGACAGGGACAAGTGGCCGGCCCTCTCGCCCTATATATAGACACTCCCAAGGAAAGGTTGGCAGTACCAGGCCAGGCTAAATAAGGCTTCCGCTAGGCAGGCAGAACCCCCCAGGGGTGGGGATACCCCAGGGATTCCAGCGGGCATGAAGTAGGTGGGTCCCTATGGGTGGCTTATGTAAGGTGGAGAAGAGAGAGCTGGTCACTGTCTCCGGATCCGCCTCTGTCACCCCGGGGCCGGCTGGGAAGGCTGGGACTGATATTTTATTTTATTTATTTATTATTTTTGGCTTTTTAGTTATTTTATTATTTTTATTATTTTATTATTTTAATTTTATTTGGGCTGGAGCAATAGCACAGCGGGTAGGGCGTTTGCCTTGCAAGTGGCCAACGCGGCCGTTCCAAGTTCGATTCCTCTGCCCCTCTCAGAGAGCCTGGCAAGCTACCGAGAGTATCTCGCCCGCAAGGCAAAGCCTGGCAAGCTCCCCGTGGCGTATTCAATATGCCAAACACAGTAACAACAAGTCTTACCATGGAGACGTTACTGTGCCCGCTTGAGCATAATTGATGAACAACAGGACAGTGACAGTGATTTTTATTTATTTATTAGTTTATTATTTATTTATTATTTTTATTATTTTTGGCTTTTTGGATAACACCTGTGAGATGCACAGAGGTTACTCCTGGATTTGCACTCAGGAATTACTCCTGGTGGTGCTCGGGGGACCAAATGGGATGTGGGGGATTGAACCCAGTTTGGCCGTGTGCAAGGCAAACACTCTCCCCGCTGTGCTATCGCTCCAGCCCTTCAGCCCCAGTTTTAACTCCTTTAACACCTTCTTGTGGGGGTCCTCCTCCCAGCAACCGGTCACAGGAGTCCACGGTGGTCTTTAGCCATGTCCTCCATTAGAGCTGAGCATAGATAGCACACGGCCACCTGTTCCGAGTGGCCCATAGCTCCCGTCACCACATAGCACCCCCCCTACCCCCACCCTGCCTGCAGTGACAGGCCAGAGGGCAGTCGGTTCAGGAGTCAGAAAGGGAATAGCAGGGAACTGAACGGCTTGGGCGTCAGCATAAAGTGGAACAAGAGTGGCAAAGGGCAGCCCCAGGAGGAAGCAAACTCCCCACCGCCAGAGGCCGACAAGAAGAGTCTGGTTGGCAGCATCTTAGGAGACCATCGGGTGCTGCCTCCTCTGTACCGGTTAAGCTCCGTAGGATCTCCCATAGGTGGAAGGGTGGGCCAACTTTCTGAGCCCCTCCTCTGAGAGCCCATGGTTTTACCCCCATGCCTTTGGGCATGTGGGATAGAGCGATAGCACAGCGGTAGGGCGTTTGCCTTGCACGCGGCTGGCCTGGCCGAGCAATGTTTGATTCCTCTGCCCCTCTCGGAGAGCCCGGCAAGCTACCGAGAGTATCTCGCCCACACGGCAAAGCCTGGCAATCTACTCATGACGTATTCAATATGCCAAACACAGTAACAACAAGTTTCACAATGGAGACATTACTGGGCCCGCTTGAGCAAATTGATGAGCAACGGGAGGACAGTGCTACAGTGCCTTTGGGGGGGCCACACCTAGCATGCTCAGGGATTGCTTCTGGCTCTGAGTTTAGGGATCACTCCTGGCAAGGCTTGGGGACTAATATGGGGTTTGGGGGGTGGTTATATCCACATCAGACATGTGCGAGGCAAACTGTACTGTTGCTCCCGTCTCGATATTTCTCTTTTTGTGTGGGGGAAGAAACAGGGATCACACCTGGCTGAGCTCAGGGCTTACTTCTGGCTCAAGGATCATTCTTGGCAAGGGCTCAGGGGACCGGGACCAAACCACAGTCCGGTGCGTGTACAAGGCAAGATTAGAGCTCTGCTGGATTTCATTTCCTTGCTGTGGATTTGTATAACATCAACTTGCCTCATCTTGAAAATGTACCATTGTTGGACTGGAGCAGGTACAGCCAGCGGGGAGGGTGTTTGCCTTGCACACGGCCGACCCAGGTTCGATTCCCAGCATCCCATATGGTCCCCGGAGTACTGCCAGGAGTAATTCCTGAGTGCAAAGCCAGGAGTAACCCCTGTACATCACCAGGTGTAACCCAAAAAGAAAAAAAAAAGAAAATGAACCATTCGCATCCAGTTATAAGCTCCCCAGAATATGAGAGTTTGGGGTGACCCAAGGTGAAGTGTCTACAAATGGATGTAGGTAGAACATGCTGGAACCTTAAAAAGCTAGAGGCCAGAAGGAGGGCCGGAGCGATAAATAGTACAATGCGTAGGGTGGTTTGCCTTGCAAGTTTGATCCAACCCAAGTTTGATCCCTGGCACCCTATAGGGTTCCCCTGAGCCCACCCATGAGTGATCTCTGATTGCAGAGCCAGAGTTAAGTCTGGAGCACTGCTGGGTGTGACCCAGAAAGCAAAACAAATGAAAAAAAGAAGATGATGGAGAGAGTACAGGGCTAAGCCACATGGCCTGTCTTGGCCACCCCTGACCCTGTTTTGATTCTCAGCACCACATGGTCCCTCGAGCGTCCTCCCAGACAGCTCTGGAGGCCGCAGAGCACTGCCCAGGTGGCCAGGCTAGTGGAATGGCAGGGAACAAGTAGCATCATGTTCTCAGGCCTTGCACTGGACAGTTGTTGGGAATTGCTTGAGTGCAGCTTGGGACGGAAGCGACTTCCCCTGGCCCCTCTCTCCAGTGCGATTCAAAAAGGACTTTTTAGAAGCTCAAAGGGCTGGAGTGTGGGGCTGGAGCGATAGTACAGCGGGTAGGGCTCTTGTCTTGCACACGGCCCATCCTGGTTCCACTCCCAGCATCCCATATGGCCCCCTGTGCATGGCCAGTTCCTGAGTGTAGAGCTAGGAGTGATTCTGGAGCACGGCTGGGTGTGGGCCAAAAGCACACATGCAAAACAGGGCTGTTGTATGCGTCTTGCAAACCCAGGGCCCCCGTACGACCCCTGGTCTCTTCCTACCACTATCTGGCGGCATCCAGCGCCACCGACAGTGGCCCCCTCCACCAGAAATTCAGTTTATTTTTATGGCAAGGCCCAGAACAAAACCAAACAAATAAAAAAAGAGTGGTGGGAGGCCGGGGATGCATCTCTGCAGTAGAGCTCTTGCTGTAACTGTGTGTGGCCCTGCGTCAGAGTCCCAGCACTGCAAAAAAAAAAATGGTAGACTCTATGTGGTAGAGATGTGGATAGTGAACTGGCAGCGTAATGATATCAAGACCTTCAGACAGGAAACAATAACTCTTCTTCACTGATAAAACAGCCTAGCACAACCGTAGCCGAGATTACAAAATAGCTGTAGCCCAGACAGCTCTCCCTCCCCACCCCCACCTCATCCCCACAGTCTCCACAGTTAGGGAACAGGTCCAGGAGTGAGCTCTGAGCACTGTTCCGTGTGACCCCCAAGCAAAGAAAGAAAGAAAGAAAGAAAGAAAGAAAGAAAAAGAAAGAAAGAAAGAAAGAACCTTCTGGCAAACTCTGACTTCGGTCAGGGAATTCAGCCTCTCTGGGTCCTTTTTTTTTTTTTTTTTTTTTTTTTTGCTTTTTTGGGTCACACCCAGGCATTGCACAGGGGTTACTCCTGGCTCTGCACTCAGGAATCACTCCTCGCAGTGCTCCGGGAACCATATACGATGCTGGGAATCGAACCCCGGTTGGCTGCGTGCAAGGCAAATGCCCTATCCGCTGTGCAATCACTCCAGCCCCCTCTCTGGGTCCTTTTGACCTTTTTATTTGGCGTGGGTGGAATGGGTGGAGGGAAGTATTGGGTCACAGGGTTTACCACTCCAGGTGGTGCTGGGGGTACTATATGGGACCCCAGAGAGCAAGGCAAGGGCGCTCCTCCCTGTCGTGCTACTGCTGGGCTCACGGCTTTATGGTTTTCATTTCCTTGCTGTGGGATGTAAGACGTCAACTTGCCTCAGCTGGAAAATGGACCATGATGGTTCAGTTACATGCTCCCCGGGATGCTTTCTCCGGGAAAGACACAAAGGGAAACTGTAAAAGTCTGTGAACCCTCCACAAACAACAGTGGTTACGTCAACCGCGCCTTTATCAGTTTCTGCTGCCAGCCTGCACCGAGCTGGGGTCCTTCCAGGAGTTGCAACACACAGTTCGCGTTCTCCACCGAAGAAGAAAAACTCAGACAGATCCCAGCCCGGGGGCCCCCCACCCCCGCCCCCCCCCCCCCCCCCCGAGCGCGCCGCTGGAGGGATGGGCTGGCTCCAGCGTTTGCAGACAGATCCCGGAAAGTTCTGGAGTGCCGAGCGGGAACCGAAGTCGACCCCGGGCGGTGCATCCCGCGTGTCGGGGCGGGAGTGAGCCCCACCCCCCACCCCCACTCCCACCCACCCCGAGGACCCGGCGCAGAAGCCCGGGGCGGCCGGGGCGGACTCGGGCCTAGCCAGCATCCTCGAATTCCTGCGGGCGCGCGGGGCCCGGGATCCCGGGGCGGCTCCGGGGAGCGGGCGTGGCCGGAGGCGGGGCGGCGGCAGGAAGGGGCCGGAGCGGCAGCCAGCGCGGCCTGGGCCCCGGGGGAACCCAGAGCGCCCGGGTGAAGCCCCGGGGACGGCAACGCGGCCCCCCCGGGGGGCGAGGCGCGCGCGCGCGCGCGGGGCGCAACGCAGCGCAGCGCGGGGCGCGGGAGCAGCGGCGCGCCCGGGGGGTGACCCGAGGCGCGGGCGGGGGTCCCCGCGGGCAGGGGCGTGGCCTCGGCGGACCCCGCACCCATGGCCTCGCGGCTGCTGCACCGGCTGCGGCACGTCCTGGCCGGGGACGGCCCCGGGGAGGCGGCGGCGGCGGCGGCGGCGGGGGGCCCCGAGGCCGAGCAGTTCCCCGAGAGCTCGGAGCTGGAGGACGACGATGCCGAGGGCCTGTCCTCCCGCCTCAGCGGCACCCTGAGCTTCACCAGCGCCGAGGACGAGGACGACGGGGACGACGGGGACGACGAGGAGGCCGGCCCCGAGGCGCCGGCCGCGGGGGACGGGGCGGCGGGCGAGGATGCAGGCGAGTGCGGGGCGCGGGGAGGAGGAGAGGAGGGAGGACCACCTCCCCACCCCGCGCGGCCACCCCGCTTCTCGGCCGGGTGACCTTGACCTCCCCGAGCCCGGGGTCAAGGCTGGGGGGGAGGGAGGGAGCCAGGCAGCCCCCCGTCCTGGGCGTTCGCGGGCCCTGAGTCCACGGCGCGGCGGCCGCGATGCCCAGGGGATGCCTTGGGGGGTGGTGGGCGCGTTTCTTCCGTGGCCCTGCCCCTCTGCGCCCGTCACCTGTTGGAGGACGGGAGAGAGTGTGGCCCGCGGTTCCCCCCGGCCCGGTGTGACCGCCTCCCTGTGTCCTGCAGACCACAGCCCCCCGCCCGAGGGCCAGCGGGGCGGCCAGCTCCTGGCCCGCCAGTGGCAGGGCTTCTGGAAAAAGTCCCGGAACACCCTGGTGCCCCAGCGGCTCCTCTTCGAGGTGACCAGTGCCACCGTGGTTAAGGACCCCCCCTCCAAGTACGTGGTGAGTGCAGGGCCAGGAGCGCCCCGGCTGGGAGTCCAGAGTGGGGGGGGGGGAGTTGAGATGTTGAGGGTCTGGTGTGTCCATCTGAGCGTGTCCCATCCCCTCCTTATAGCAGGGGGGAGAGAGAAGCCACAAGCGAGTTCCCACCCAAATGATTTTTTTGTTTGTTTTTCTGAGACTGAGTAGAGATGACAGTGGTGATGGGTAGGGCACATTGGTCCTGGTAGCTGGGTCCCCCCACAGCCCCTCTAGGCATCGGTGAGGGAGACCTTTGAGCACCCACAGGTATGGCCCCCAAACCGAAAGATAAGGGGTCTCATTGACCTGCAGCCTCTTATCCTGGTTTTGAGATAAATTGTAACAAGTTGCAAGGGGGGGAAATATATATGTATCTATGCATATATGCATATAATCTGGGTCAGACTTGAGACCCCGGTTGCAAAGTTTAGTGATTTCAAGAATGGATTTTAAAACCAGACCAGCTAACTAATCACCAGTTGTTTGGCCTGGGGTGAGTTATCACCTTAATGACCTGTTTCTCCAATGGGGGAGAATGCAGAGTGACCGGAATTCCCTGGGGTCTGCAAAGCAAAGAAAGCCCTGGGCTTTAAGAAGAAGTGCTGGATTAAGTGACAGCTTTGTTGTTTTTTATTTTTTGATTCTTGTGATGCTCCGGGGTGGCTGCTGGCTCTGCACTCAGGAGTTTACTCCTGGCTGTGCTGGTGGGGGTGGGTGGGTGGGACGGACACTGAATGGAATGCCCGGTCAGCCTGAGGCAAAGCGGGCGCCCTAACTGCCCTAACTGCTGCGTAGCTCTCTGGCCCCTGTTGTGTTTCACCAGGAACACCTGCCACCTGGGGACCGCGCAGGTGAATCACATCTCCAGCTCCCCCCTCACACGTCCTAAGGGTAGACTTAGGATTGTCGAGGTGGGTGGAGATCAGTGGGGGTGTGCCATGGGGGGGTCCCTGTCCGCTGTGCTGTGGCCTCTGCCCAGGAGAATGAGGTCAGCCGGCCTGGGTCGGTGGCAAAGTCGCTGCCTGAAACCCAGCCTGACCCGGCCAGGCCCCGCCTCCCAGTCCCTGCCTTCACCGCCTTCCACCACTTCTGACTCAGCAGCCTGGACTTCTCTCCCACATGTGGCCACTCCGCCCTTCTCTGCAGGCCACGCCCAGGGGTGGACTGTGATCCTCAGGCTTTACGTGGCATTAGGCCTAGGCTGGGGGGTCGGCACAGGACGAATGTCCCAAAGATCAGTTATCGGGGAAGACTTTGAGAACTCAATGACAAGATTAGGTTGTGACCCGTGGGCCAGGCGGTTAGTACAGCGGAGAAGGCATTTGCCTTTCACGTGGCCAACCCGGGTCTGTACCCCAGCATCCCATAGGGTCCCCTGAGCACCGCCAGGACTGATTCCTGAGTGCAGAGCCCAGAGTAACCCCTGAGCATCACTGGGTGTGACCCCCCCCCAAAAAAAAAAGGCAGGCCAAGTTTGCTGTGGCCTTGGGAAGCGTTTGGCTATGGGAACCCTAACCCCCTAGTCAACTTCTCTTTTTGTTTTTTTGTGGGTTTTGGGGGGGGGAACAGCCTTCTGTTTTTGTTTTTTGTGTTTTTTTTTTGGGGGGGTGAGGGGGTACAGCCGCTTACTCTGCATTCAGGAATTCTGGCAGTGTTTAGGGGCCTTTATAGGATGCCAGGCATCGAACCCGGGTCAGTCCTGTGCAACGCAAGCACCTTAGTATACTGTCTACATGGAAACCCCTCTGCCCCAGCCCAAGAGGGGAGTACCGTGGCTCGCCCCACAGAGGCTGGCACAATGGATTGCCTTTGCCCTTTTCTTTTTCTTTTTTTTGGGGGGGGGGGGTCACACCCAGCAGTGCTCAGGGGTTACTCCTGGCTCTGCACTCAGGAATTACTCCTGGCGGTGCTCAGGGGACCCTATGGGATGCTGGGAATCGAACCTGGGTTGGCCGCGTGCAAGGCAAACGCCCTACCCACTGTGCTATCACTCCAGCCCCACCTTTGCCCTTTTCTAAGCTCCAAGAAAGGGGGCGGCTGTGCCCAGCTCTGGAGCCCCCGTGATGGGGAGCCCTTGAAGATTAAGGAGACAAGCTTGGGGGGGGGGTAGGGATTCGGGGAGAGAACACAAAGGGCTGGCGTGTAGGCTGGGCACCCAGGAGGCTGGGTTCTGCCAGAGCACCACTCGCGTGACCCAGGAAAAAAAAAAGAAAGAAAGAAAGATGGACACTGGGGTATCCATCGCCCACTCTGAGCCCGTGTCCTCAGCGGTTCTCACCTTCTCTTGCTGCCAGAATGACTTAGAGGTGGTGCCACAGCACAGGGGCTGAGCTCAGTGGAACTGCTGTCCTTATCAGCCTGTCTCAGTGGCAAGGGGCAGAGTTAGGAATAGAAAGTCCTGGGGAGTTGGGCGGAGTAGGGTTTGGTTTGGGTTTGGTTTGGGGCCACACCCAGCAGTGCTTCAGGGGTCATTCCTGACTCTGTGCTCTGGAGTAATCCTCACCACGTGGGAGGGATCATACGCAATGCTGGGACCTGAACCGAGCGTGGCCACGTGACAGCCTGTGCGCCCTCTCCACCCAGTATTGAGGGAGGGGAGTTTTGCCAGAATTTTAAAATTTCTGTTTTGGGGCCACATCTAGCTGGCTTAGTCCTGGATCTCTGCTTAGGGATCACTCCTGGGTGGTATTTAGGGGACCCGTTGCTGCATGCAAGACAAGTGCCCTTTTTTGGGGGTGGGTGCAGGGGTCCCATCGGGCAATGCTCAGGGGTTCCTCCTAGTTCTGCACTCAAGAATTACTCCCAGGATGTTAGGGACTGAAGGCCAAGGCCTGTCCGCTGTACTATTGCTCTGGCCCAAGACAAGTGCCTTAACTGCTGTACTAATTCTCCAGCCCCTGCCGAAAAAATTTATTTACATTTACTTTTTGTTCTTTGGACCACACCTAGTCATGCTCAGGAATCTCTGAGGGGTGGGGGGCAGTCAGGGGATAATTCAGGTTGTTGGGGGTTGAACCTGGGTCAGACCCAGGCAAGGCAAATACCCTACGCACCTTTCCCACTGTAATAACTTTCTGGCTTCCCAAAACCAATTTTATTTTACTTGGGGGGGGGGGGTGGGCAGGGTTAGGCCACACACCTGCTCAAGGGTTCCTCCTGGCTCTTTGCTCAGAGATCACTCCTGGCGGTGCTTGGGGGACCATATGGGGTGCCGGGGATTGAACCTGGGTCAGCCGTGTGCACGGCCAGCACCCTGCACCTGCTGTACTATCGGTCCGACCCAAAAATCAATTTTAAAAATTGGGGACTAGAGAATTAGCTCAGTGTTTGGGGGATTCCTGGCGTGCATGTGCAAGGACCCAGGTTTGATCCCCAGCACCACTGGGTGTAGCCCCAGGGGACTTGAGCACCGAACTGTCCTGCATTGCCAGGAGTGACCCCTGGATGCCCTGGGCTACCTCCTGGGAGGCCCCCCCACCAAAAAAAAAAAAGTGTGGCCTGCAGTCTGTTTTATAGACGTACCATAGGCACCTGCGTATCTGGTCTGTTCTGAATAAAATAAGTGTCTATATGTTTTTTGTTGGGAGGCCACACCCAGCAGTGCTAGGGGACCACGTGGTAGCAGGGACCCACCATGGCTCCTGCATACATCGCCCGGTAAGCCGTCTCACCCGGCCCATGGTTCACGGTCACGATCATCCTGTTGTTCGTCGATTGCCTCAAGCAGGCACCAGTAACGTCCCCTGAGACTTTTTTTTTTTTTTTTTTTTTTTTTGCTTTTTGGGTCACACCCTGCGATGCACAGGGGTTACTCCTGGCCCTGCACTCAGAAGTTCCTCCTGGCGGTGCTTAGGGAAACATATGGGATGCTGAGAATTGAGCCAGGGTCAGCTGCATGCAAGGCAAATGCCCTACCTGCTGTGCTATCTCTCCAGTCCCAGCCCTGAGATTTTAGAAGAGCCATTTCAATGCTCTTTCAGGATTAGGAGAATGAGACCCATCATTGTTACTGGTATTTGGCATATTGAGTACAGACACGGGAAATTTGCCAGACTCTGCCATACGGACAGGATCCTTTCGGTAGCCTGCCGGGCTCTCCAAAGTAAAAACAAGATACTAAGACGTCAGCCTACGGTTACGACTTTTAATCCTGGGGCTGGAGAGAGAGTGCAGGAGCACAGGCGGTAGGACACTTGCCTTACAGTTGTGTCACCCAGACCCTGGTTTGGATTCCGCAGCATCACATACGGTCCCTTGAGCACTGCCAGCCACCACTTCTGAGCACAGAGCCTAGGAATAGCCCCTGAGCACTTCTGGGTGTGGCCCAAACCCCCTCCTCCAAAATATCTTTAATCCGTGGAGTTCGTGCCCAATTCAGTCAGCTTAAACAATGAACAAATAGCAGTACTCCTACATTATTTTTTTAAAAAACTTAAAATTTTTTGAAAAATTATTTATTTATTTATTATTTATTTTGCTTTTTGGTCACACCCGGCAATGCTCAGGGGTTACTCCTGGCTCTGCACTGAGGAATTGCTCCTGGCAGTGCTCAGGGGACCATATGGGATGCTGGGAATCGAATCGTGTGCAAGGCAAACGCCCTACCCGCTGTGCTATCGTTCCAGCCCTGAAAAAATTTATAAAAATTGTTTAAAAAAGTCTTTCATCCTTGGGTATGGAAACTGGCTCAGAGGGGGATGGAGCACACTTTGCACGTGGGCGCCCCGGGTTTCAACCCCTGGCACCACGTGGTCTTTGGAGCACTGTGCTGGGCTCTGCCCCTAAGCGATGCTGGGTGTTCCTCCCCCCATACCCCCGGGAAAAAAAACCCAAAGCAAACAATGTTTGTAATCCTAAACATTCATGTGCACTGTCGAGAGAATCATATAGGTCAACTTCATCTGCTATGAATTCTGAATTCTGGAATTCTGGTGTATTCACAAAACTACTACAGCAGAAAAAAAAAATCAAGGTTTGGGATTAGTTTAACACTTTAACATCTAACGCATGCTAATCCCCCCTTTTTCTTCTTAAATCTGTTCGCTTAGCATGAGCACAGATTAATCCATCTCTGGGTTCTCAGAGGTGGGGGGAAGCTTCATGGGTGTTTCCCAGACCATCTTTTCAATTCTGCCCCATTGCTGCTGGACTAACGCTTTTTTTTTTTTCCCCCTGTCAATAAACCTCTTGTTTTCTTACTGAAGTCTGAAAGATAACTCTAACCTTGCTGTGTGTGGAGCGCCTCACTCGCAGTAGAGACAGAGAGGACCCTAACAGTAGGACCCCGGAAACCGAAACCCGCTTACCCCCTGGCCTCCCCGCTGCGGCCTGGCCTGAGACTCACTTTCTGATCCCTGGAGGTTGGAGAAGTGCTTTTGAAAAACCAAACTGAGAGCTTCTCAATTTGTGGTCAGAGAAACCACTTGGAGCAAGTCAGGGGTGGGGGCAGGTGGCGGTGGAAATACCCACTGACATCTGGGAACGGTGTCACCCCTCATCACCCTCGAGTAGACACTGACCTGGGGGGTCGGGGGTGGGGGGGGCTTCATTCCCTGGAAGGCCGCAGTCCCAGGAGGGGCTGGCCTGGCCTGGCCTGGCATCACCCAGGGAGGCAGGAGCTGGTGTCCCAGGCCAGTGACCTGCACGAGCGCAGCTCGATCCCTACTGTGACGTATCTGGGGCGGGGGGAAGGACGTGGTCAGGGAGGTGTGCCTGTGTGTCCAGAGCGGAACGGAGCTCTGGGCTGGTCCCCGAGATTGGCTCAAGAGGTCCCGAGGCCGGCCTGGATTTCCGACCACCCCTGGGGTCACCCGGAGAGGCTGTCAGGAGCGTGAAGGGGAAGCGGGGGGCCACGCAGGCAGCAGCCCCAGGCACTGAAGCTCGTCTCTGTCTTTCTCTCCCCGTGCTGCCCTGGGCCTGGGCCATTTCAGACCAGCCTCAGGTAAGACGGGGCTGGCCGTCTCCGGGGTGAAGGGGAGAGGCTGGGGAGCAGGGGTGGGGGGCGGGAGGAGGGGGCCTCGGCTGCCCTCCCCGGGGCCGGCGCTCACCCCTGGTCCTCCCTGCAGCTCTACACCCTCGTCTTGACGGGCCCCGGCCCTCCGGCCCGCCAGCCCGCGCAGATTTCCCGCCGCTACTCGGACTTCGAGCGGCTGCACCGGGACCTGCAGCGCCAGTTCCGGGGCCCCATGACCGCCCTGTCCTTCCCCCGGAAGCGTCTGCGTCGCAACTTCACCGCCGAGACCATCGCCCGCCGCAGCCGGGCCTTCGAGCAGTTCCTGGGCCACCTGCAGTCCGTGCCCGAGCTGCGCCAAGCCCCGGCCCTGCACGACTTCTTCGTGCTGCCCGAGCTGCGGCGGGCACAGGGCCTCACCTGCACCGGCCTCTACCGCGAGGCGCTGGCGCTCTGGGCCAATGCCTGGCAGCTGCAGGCCCAGCTGGGCACCTCCTCGGGCCCTGACCGTCCGCTGCTGACCCTGGCCGGGCTAGCCGTGTGCCACCAGGAGCTGGAGGACCCCGGGGAGGCCCGGGCGTGCTGCGAGAGGGCCTTGCAGCTGCTGGGGGATGAGGGTCCGCCACACCCGCTGCTGGCGCCCTTCCTGGAAGCTCATGTCCGCCTCTCCTGGCACCTGGGCCTGGACAAGCGCCAGTCGGAGGCCCGGCTCCAGGCACTGCAGGAGGCTGGCCTGACCTCCATGCCGCCCCCCAGTCTCAAGGAACTGCTCATCAAGGAGGTACTGGACTAGCGGTACTGGCCCGCTGAAGGGGAACGGAGAGGAGACGCACAGTGGCCCCGAGGCCGGAGGGGGTGCTGGGAACCCCCCCCCCACACACACACACACCCTGGGAGTCCCACGAAGATTTTGTAGCGGACTGAAACATCTGCTGCTTCTCGGTTGAGCCGAGGCCAGGACGGTGCAGGACGGGAGCTGGACTTAGGCCTGTCTGCAGGGGGCCTGGCCCAGGCCAGTGACCACAGGCCTCTCCCTGGGGGGGCCTCTGAGGCTGCTGGGCTGAAGGGCCAGGCCCCCTGCCTCTGGATTCCCCCCTGGGTTGCTGGGGGTGGGGGGCACTGAGTTCTGGCCCCAGGGGATTAAAGGCAGCCGGCTCTAGTGGTCTCTGGCTCTTTATTGGAATGTGAGAGACAGAGGCACAGCCCCTGCCACGAGCTCCAGGCCCCCCAAATGGGCCAGAGGGAAGTCCCCGAAGCCCCAGGCCACGCAGGTCCCTCAGCTACAGTTTGCTCTCGGCGACCCTGGGCACCACTCGGATCACGCCCTCCTGGGCACAGGATACAGCCAGGACCCCGTCCCGACGCCACAGCCGGCCCTGAACCAGGCCCCGGCAGCCACCTGTGGACAAGAAGAAGAGTTGAAAAGGGCCTGCTCCAGCCCTTCTCTGGGTGCTTCCTGGCCAGTTTGCACCCCTCACCCCTGCCACTGCCCAGAGTGCTGTGGTCACAGGAAGCCCTCTCCCGGTCGGTGATGGCAGACTACGGGGGGTCACGCCTCCCAGGGGATCCCCACTGGACAGAAAAACATTTTCACATACGTCATGGGTTCCTCAAATGGCAAGGGAGGAGTCCGAGCACCGGGCTCCACCCTGGCCACTGGGGTGGGAAACCCACCAGTTCCCCTCCCCCCCCTTCTGCCTCTACCGTGAAATCAAAAAGCAAGCAGGAGGGGCTGGAGCAATAGCACAGTGGGTAGGGCGTTGGCCTTGCATGCGTCCGACCCGGGTTCGATTCCCAGCATCCCATATGGCCCCCCGAGAAACGCCAGGAGTCATTCCTGAGTGCAAAGCCAGGAGTAACCCCTGAGCATTGCTGGGTGTGACCCAAAAAGCAAAAAAAAAAAAAAATCAAGCATGACCCCCAGGTTGACCACACCTGGACATGGCCTGCCTGCCAGCCGGACCCTCTTGATTGCCCGCCCGCAACGGAGCAAGTCCCGAGCGTCCTTGGGTGTGGCTTCAAACAAAACAAAAAAATGTATCTGGGACTTCCTGAAGTCAGTCCCAACACCCACAGTCAGTGTCTTTGGGGGTGGAACTTGAGAATCTTGAAAAACTTCCCCCCTGTGGCTATCTAGCAGGCCACAGGGTTTGGGTAATACTCGCTAATGCAGCCCTGCTTGGGGCCAGAGTGACCCTCCAGGAGGGAAGGTGTTGACTGTGCACGTAGCCTACCCTGGTTCGTTCCCCGGCATCGGGTGGTCCCCAGGCACCACCAGAGTGATGCCTGAATGCAGACCCAGGGTAAGCCCTGAGCATCCCTGTGTGTGACCCCCCGCAAAAAAAGCCCAAGGAGAAAAGTGGCCCTGTTTGTTGAGATCAGTGTTCCTCCAGGTGGGAGATGCCACTTATCCTGTGGGGCCTCTGAAAAGAGGGGACACAGTAAGCAGCCTCAGGAGCAATCAGGGGCATTTTCTGCTCGCTTAAAGGGGTGGGCTTCTAGGGGTAAAGTGATAGCACAGCAGGAAAGGTGCCTGCCTTCTAGTTGGTCAACCCTGTTCAATCCCTCGCACCCTATATGGTGCAAAAGAGAAAAAAAAAAGTAGATTTTCTAGGGAGAGGGGCACCGATCCCTCCTCCCTAAAATGTGGGCGGGCGGGGGGCCCAGTTGGAAGCCTCTGGCTTAGCTGGGGAGACAGGCTGGGAGGAGAGTTGGACTTCCCCAAGGTCCAGACTGAAGTGCTTCAGTGGGGTCGGAGATGTCATTCACAAGCAGAGCCCCGTGGCTCAGAATCCAGCCTTGAAGCGTCAGCTCTCAGCCGCAGTGCTCAGGCGGCTCCGCATCTGATCCCTGGCACAAGCCATTGCAGACTGCAGCCACTAAGGCGTGACACCCGCCCGACAGCCCACAGCACACCCAGACGGGGGTGGGCAAGGGGATGAGTAAGCCAGAGAGAGTAACAGCAGGGAAGGCACTTGCCTTGAGGCCACCAACCCAGGTTCCATCCCTGGTGCCCCATAAGGCCCCCCTGAGCCCCCCAGGAGAGATCCCTGAATGCAGAGCCAGGAGGAAGCCCTGAGCACTGCCCAGTGCCACCCACAAAAATGCGAGAGGGCTGGGGCTGGAGTGATAGCACAGCGGGTAGGGTGTCTGCCTTGCACGCGGCCGACCCGGATTCAATTCCCAGCATCCCATAGGGTCCTCTGAGCACTGCCAGGGGTAATTACTGAGTGCATTGCGAGGAGTAACCCCTGTGCATCGCCAGGTGTGACCCAAAAAGTAAAAAAAAAAAAATGTGAGAGGGGCAGACATCCTGTCCTCAAGCTCTGTTTTGTCCTCTGAAGACAAAGATGGGGTCAGCGGGGAGTGACCTGTGTGGTACCCCTTGGGAAGAGAGGGTGGAGTGGCATCACCCAAGAAAGCAAGCCTCTCTCGCGCCCATCCTGGGACTACCAACACCAGCTCCATCCCACCCTGTGCCTGGGACCACCCACACTCACAAGCCCCACCCTGCCCCAATGCCCGGGGCCACCCACACTCACCAGTTCCACCCTCCCCCCATGCCCAGGTCCACCCACACTCACCAGCCCAGGGGCTCTCGCACTCATACAGCATCCAGTGGTCAGCTCGGAAGGGGGCGTGGAACCACATGGAGTGGTCCAGGGAGGCCATGAAGCGCAGGTTGTAGTGGGCGTCATGGGGCAGCAGCGCGGTGCCCAGGAAGGCGTAGTCAGAGATGTAGGCGGCCACGCAGCAGTGCATCTTGATGTCCCCCTGCCCTGTGGCAGCCCCCAGACCCATCAGCTCTGGGCGCCCGCTCACAGCGCGGGGGCCCGCAGGGGAAGGGGGCTGTGGGCACAGATGTGCCAGGCAGGACTGGTCACTGTCCCTGCGGAGAGCGTCAGGCCCCTGCTGTGTGCCTGAGCCATCCCTCTCCGTGACAGCCCCGTGGGGCCTGGGAAGGGAAGAGTTCAGGGGGCTTTGCCTGTCCGTTTGCAGGATGGGCGTCTCCCTGGTGAGAAGTCGAACCAACTCTGAGCCTCTGAGAAAGAGGCCCCGGGCAGGATGAGAGGGTCCTGGGCCCCGGGTTCGATGCCAGCATTGCCGAGAGCGCCCCCCACCCACCCCCAACGCCAAGTACTGCTGGGCCTGGCCCCCAAAACAAAAAAGGAAGCATGCAACAGGGGCTGAGAGGAGGGAAGTAACTCCGAATGGTTGGAGACCTGGAAGTCACCTTTCAGCCCCGGGGGTCTTCTTACCGATATGGCCACGAGCACGCACCCAAAACATCTGTTTGGGCTCCGGGTCCTGCAGCTGTCTCAGCGCGGGTGGGCTGACCACCCGGATCTCAATGGGCACCTCCTGAGCTGCCATCCGGTTCAAGCCCACTCGGTACTTCTCTTGGTTAGGGTCACTGAAAGTCAAGGCAGGGGAAGGGACCAGACAGAGGTCTCAGCTCCTTTCCCCAACAGATGCCCCCTCCTCTCTGGGAACCAGAGTCTCGGGAAACGCCATCTTGTTCAACTATTTTGTTGGGTTTGGGGTTTGGGTTGTTTTTGCTTTTTATTTTTTGGTCTTGGGGACACACCTAGTGATGCTCAGGGCAGGCTTCCTCCTGACTGCACTCAGGGACCACTCCTGGCAGTGCTTGGGGGGGACCATATAGGGATCGAACCCAGGTCAGCCACGTGTAAGGCAAACGACCTCTTCACTGTCCTGTCGCTCCGGCCCCTCAACGATTTTGTTAATGTTGATGAGAAAGAAACAATCCTGACTCAGCGTGAGGACTGCCATTATTCAAGGTCATGGTTCCCAGAAAGTAGAGCCTGGGATGTGGCTGGGGGTGGGCGAGGGGCGGAGAAGAACACTTGTCTTGCATGTGTGAGACCCCAGGTTCGAGCCCTGGTGCCAAGGCACACCCCTCCCTCCCACCCCCCAAAAAATATCACTTCCAAGTTAAATTAGGATGTACTGTACAGTCTTTGAATTCTTTCTTTGCCACCAAGGAGCCAGACAGCCTGGCTAAAATTAGCGATCGTGGAGCTGGAGCGATAGCACAGCGGGTAGGGCGTTTGCCTTGCATGCAGCTGACCCGAGTTCGATTCCCAGCATCCCATATGGTCCCCTGAGCACCACCAGGAGTAATTTCTGAGTGCAGAGCCAGGAGTCACCCCTGAGCATCACGGGGTGTGACCCAAAAAGCTAAAAGAAAAAAAAAAACGTTAGCACTCTTCACCATCTATAGTACGTGGCTAGTGAGGAACCCAGCTTGAAGCAAACGCCGGAGCAATAGCACAGTGCGTAGGGCATTTGCCTTGCACACAGCCAACCCAGGTTTGATTCCCAGCATCCCGTATGGTCCCCTGAGCACCGCCACACGCCAGAAGTGATTCCTGAGTGCAGGGCCAAGAGTCAGCCCTGAGCATCGCCGGGTGTGACCCAAAAAGCAACAAAACCAAAGCAAACGCTGGAGAAGACCAGGCGACAAGGCAGCAGGGATGAATGATGTCAGCACCTTGCCCTCCTAAGGCCTGTCCTACAGGGGGCGCCTGGCACGCAGTCCTGCCAGGCGACATGCAGACGCGGGTCTGATCTGAGCAATAAACTCAGCTCAGGGTGTTAAGTGGCCGTTAAGTGGCCAGCTTAGGAAGAAGAGAAATCGACTGGACTGAGGGGGGGGGAGCCTAGCACCCATCCATGCTCTATACCACACACACATTCATCCCCGTCCCCCCCCCCTCGTTGTGCCGAGGATGGAGCCCAAAGCCTCACATGAGGAGAGACACATGCTTCTGCTGAGCTACACGCCAGGCCACACTTCACTGACCTGGCCCGGAAATCAGCTGCGACTTGAACTTCCACCCTTGCCCTGGGGTCACCACAGCGTCACAGGCAACAGCCCCGTTCCCCCCCCCCCCCCACCCCCCTGCTCCACTGACGTCTGCATTTTCACAGCCCTGTCCTCATGGGCTGGAGCCACAGCACAGTGGTAGGGCATCTGCCTTGCATGCGGCAGGCTTGGCCGAGCTGGGTTCGATTCCTCCGCCCCTCTTGGAGAGCCCGGCAAGCTAAACCGAGAGTATCTCACCCGTACAGCAAAGCCTGGCAAGTTCCCCAGGGCGTATTCGATCTGCCAAACACAGTAACAATAAGTCTCACCATGGAGACGTTACTGGTGCCCGCTCGAGCAAATCGATGAACAACGGGAGGACAGTGCTACAGTCCTCATGGGGCAGGGTCCCATGGCAGCCACTGGCCACAGGTGTTGACGAGTCTGAAACGTGAGCAGGGGACGGAGGGCTGAGTTGTTGACTCTGCGGGACCTGACGTGATGCAGTCAACAGGCCAGTGGCTGGGCTGCGAGCCAGCACGGGGCTGGTGCAAACAGTCTGTTCCCTCCAGGTGAGCAAACACCCTGCACTGGGCCAGTGCCGAGCCCTCTGCAGGCGGTGGTGGCATCACTGCCCTGCCTGGCTCTCATTCAGCGCGTCCCCTCTCCACTCACTCAGTCCTCATGCAGCCGCCTCTGATGGGGTTCCCAGCTGGCACCGGCTTATCGCTGAGGGCACCGGCGTGACACAACAACTAGTCCAAAGGCACACAGCAAGTAGCAGGAGTCTAGATTTGAGGGGTTGGAGCGATCGCACAGCGGGGAGGGCGTTTGCCTTGCACACGGCCGACCTAGGTTCGATTCCCAGCATCCCATGGGGTCCCCTGAGCACTGCCAGGAGCAATTCCTGAGTGCATGAGCCAGGAGGAATCCCTGAGCATCGCCAGGTATGACCCAAAAAGGAAAAAAAATTAGGCTATACACAATACTCTTTTATATACTTCTTTTTTTTTTTTCTGGCCACACCTGGCGATGCTCAGGGGTTCCTCCTGGCTCTGCACTCAGGAATCACTCCTAGCAGTGCTCGGGGGACCATACGGAACGCCAGGGAGGAAACTCTGGTCTGCTGCAGTGCAAGGTAGCTGCCCTCCCCGCTAAACAATGGCTCAGTTCTAACGTATCATCCTCATTTACGTATTTTTGTTATGGGGGGGCGGGGTGACACCCAGAGGTGCTCAGGGGAACAGGAACAACGGAACCCAGAGTTCCCACCCGCAGAGACTGTCTGTTCTCCAGCCCGTGGAACCGCCCCCGGGGCCCTGGTCCATTTTTTCCCACGTCCATCAAAGCTCACTCCAGGATACCCACTCCTGGGTGCACGGACCCCTCCCGGGCGGCGGTGCAGCTCACCTGAGGTACCGGTCCATCAGGACCTTCTGGTCCAGCAGCTCCTCGGGCGGGGGCACGGCGGGCATGGAGAACTGGTGCTGCAGGGGGCTGGGCTGCGCCAGCTGGAAGGACGCCTGGCAGATGAAGATGGGCTTGCCGTGCTGCACGGCCTTCACGGCGCGCACCGAGAAGCTGGTCCCGGAGCGCGTGCGCTCCACCTGGTACAGCACGGGCACCTTGGGGTCGCCTGCGGTGGACACGAGGGGCACGGTGGGCTCCCGCGGCCCGGCCATCCCCTCGGCGACGGGCTCTCCCCTTCCTGCTCGGGTTTTTCTCCCAGCCGAAGCCTGTGAAGAGCCGGGGGGGCCGCGGGTAGGGCGCGCGGAGTGGAAGGGGCCCACGCGGGGGTGGGGGGCTCCAGCACAGGCCATGCCCCCCTGGAACCACCCCCCCTCCCGTCAGATTCTCTGCATGCAGTCCCGGTGTGGCCACGACCTGCCTGCGACCTGGGGAGAGTCATTTCCCCTCTGTGCAGCTTTCCCAACATTCACACCCTCAGAATCCTTTGGGCTTTTTGTTTCTGTTTCTGGTTTGTTTTTTTTTTTCCCCGCTTTTTGTGTCACACCCAGCCAATGCTCAGGGGTTCCTCCTGGCTCTGCACTCAGGAATCACTCCTGGCAGTGCTCGGGGACCTTATGGGATGCTGGGAATCGAACCCCAGTCAGGCACATGCAAACACCCTGCCCTCGGTGCTATTGCTCCAGCTTTGGACTTTTTCTTGGTTCGTTGTGTTTTGTTTGGGGGTCACACCGGATTGTGCTCAGAGTTTACTCTTGGCTCTTTACTCAGGGGTCACTCCTGGCAGGGCTCAGGGGACCCTATGGGGTGTCAGGGATCGAACCCCGATGGGCGATTATGTGTAAGGCAAGCCCCGTGTCCACCGTTCTGTTGCTCTGACCCCAGAGATACTTGCTTGCTTGGGGACCACAGCTGGCGGCACTCAGGGTTAAGTTTGTGTGTATGGTATTTTTTGCTTGTCTGTTTGCTTTTGTATTGTTTTGCTCTCCTGACTGTGCACTCAGGAATCATTCCCGGAGGGCTGAGGGGGTGCAAAGAGGAGGATGGGTGTGGAGGGGGGAAGGGAGGGCTATCCTACAATGCCAGCGATCAAACCCAGGTCAGCCCAGGTCAGCTGCATGCAAAGCAAGCCTACCACCCGCTCTCTGGCCCCAGAGCAAGGCAGCTTTTAGGGAACCAAACTTACTTTCAAAGATTTGAGGGGAGAGAAAGGGAGAACCTGGTCAAGAGAGAACACGGGCTCCTCCAGAGAGCAGAAAGCAGAGAGACATAGAGACACGCCTGGGACACATCTCCTGGGAGAGCACGGGCTTGAAGAGGCAGCCCAGCTCGGTTCTGAAGAAATCACACACTTCGCTCTGCAATCCCAGAGCTGGGAACAGCAGTCAAGACCAGCTTGCTCAAAGACCCTCGGGGCTATAGTAAGCAGGTAGGGCATTTGCCTTGCACGTGGCCGACCCGGGTTCCATTCCCAGCATCCCATATGGTCTCCCCCGAGCACTGCCAGGAGTAATTCCTGAGTGCATGAGCCAGGACTAATCCCCGTGCGTCACCCGGTGTGACCCAAAAAGCAAAAATTAAAAAAATAAAAAGTCCCAGGAGGGAGGGTGAGCTCTGCCAGAAGAGGGTTTGCTCCCCACCTGCTTCCAGGCCCCTTCCAGGCGAACTCCCTGTTCCCCTCAAACACACTGGCAGGAACAGCCCCGGAGCACAGGGGCTCCAGAGCATGAAACAGAACCATTAACAGAATGACTTTCTTCTGTCCTGCCCCGGGAAAGAGCAGCGCTGACCTCCCAGCGACCTTCCTGAAGGTCCCAGCCCGAGTTCGTGGGAAAGCAAAGCTCTCCGGGTTCTGGGGCTTGGTGGTCTCTCCCTCATGAGACCCCCAGCAGAACCCCCAGCATGGTAGCAGGCCCCCAGAGACAATGAAACTGGTCCCCCAACGCAATTCAGTAACAGTTCAGAACCAACCAGCACAAGGGATATCTGGGGGCCTTGGTCCCTCCTCCTCCTCCTCCTCCTCCTCCTCCTCCTCCTCCTCCCATCTCCTTTCACCTCCCAGAGCCCCGGGAACAAGGAAGCAGTGGCACCTGGGTCCCCACCCCCACCCCCTGCGGCGGGCTGGGGAAAGGCAGTGGTGGTTACCTGCCCGGACGAAATAGCAGTGCAGTGAATGTACGTGAAGTTCATCAGTCACGGACTTGGCAGCCGCCACCAGGGCCTGGCCCACGATCTGCCCCCCAAACAGCCGCTGCGAGGTGGGGACCCAGTGATGGGTGCCTCTGTGGGAAGAAGAAAACAGAAAACACGCTCAGGCTGGGCCAAAGTCCTTGGCGTCTCTGAGCCTCCCTCCATAGTCTGCTAACTGGGCTCCAGCCATCACGGTGGGGGTGGGGGGTAGGTAGTGGGTTGGTGGGGGAGGGTAGGGGAGGTAGAGGGGACTGGATTCTCCGAGCAAGCACAGCTACAGCTATACCGAATGGCCTTCACGACCACCCTGCCCTTCTCTGGGCTTTGGTGATGCGCCCACGGTTTTATTCCAAGCTCCCAAGCTGGGATCGTTAGCCACTGCACAGCGGGGAGGGCATTTGCCTTGCACCTCAGGGGTAAGCCCTGAGTCCAGCCAGGCATGGCCCCCCAAGCAAACTTAAATCAAGAGAATTGGGGTCAGAGAGGGAAAGTGACTGGAATGAGGTCACACAGCTGGAACACTAGCAATGTGAGTGACCGCCCCCACACACACATCCAGTGTTCCTCCCACTGCCCAGGCCAGTGGAAGATCAGAGGGGACCATAGTGAACCCAGCGCCTACTGCTTACACCCAACTTCTTTGCAGGTGTGTGTGTGTGTGCATGTGTGTGGTTTACATCTAAGATAGCTTCCAATGAGGCTTTTTTTTTTTTGCTTTTTGGGTCACACCCGGCGATGCACAGGGGTTACTCTCCTGGTTCATGCACTCAGGTATTACTCCTGGCGGTGCTCAGGGGACCCTATGGGATGCTGGGAATCGAACCTGGGTTGGCTGCGTGCAAGGCAAACACGCCCTATCCGCTGTACTATTGCTCCAGCCCCCCAATGAGGCATTTTGATCTTGTCATCTGGCAGGATTAAGTCCTCAGGAGCTGGGGCGACAGGATGGAGGAGGGAGGGCGCTTGCCCTGTACCCGGCCAACCCAGATTCCATCTCTGGCATTCTACATGGCCCGCTGAGCACCCTCCCGAGTGACCCCTGAGTGCAGAGCCAGAGGTTACCCCTGAGCTGCGATTGCTGCCCCCCCCACACACCCCCCAAACCAAACCAACAAGCAAAACGATGAAGTCCTCAGCTTGCAGGCCAGCATTTCAGGCGCAGGACAGGATGGAAAGCGGCCTTGGCCTGGGTTTGGGGACCCCAACACGCGGTGATGGAGCGGAGTGGGGGGCGCAGCGGGTCAACCTCCAAGGCTAGAGGCAAGTCTAAACGCAGCATTCGATTTGCCCAGGGGTGAAGGGAGCGGAGACCCCCCACCAGAGAGCATCGGACTACCAGGGCCCCGGGGTTGAGGTCTCCCCCACCCCGCCAACGAGGCAAAGCCTGCAACCCGCACGGATGCAGCCCGTCCTCGCCCCTGAGCAGCACCCTCTGGGGGGCGTGGTCCCTCTGGGGGGGCAAGGGAGGGGGGTCCTGTAGGTCCCTGCAAGGAGGGGGTCTGCACCTTGCACAACCGGCTACCTGAAAAGATCCTCGTCCAGCGTCTCAAGGTTAAGCACGCTAGTGACCAGGACGCTGCGGAGGTCCCCCGGGCCGCCGTCGCCATCGCCATCGCCCTGCTTGTCCTCCTGGACCTGCGGGGAGGACATTGTCGCTCGCTCCCACTCCCGGCCCGGGACCCCGCGCTCGTTTACTTAAGAGGCGCCGGCTGAGAACTACTCAGAACTACCGCAGCTTCCGGCAGCTGGCCCGGGGAACCGGAAGTGCCCGGCCGCAGAGCGCGGAGCGCAGGCTCCGATTGGTCAGCGCCTGTGTCAGCCCGCGGCCGGGTCGCGATCCCTCGCCGGCGATTGGAGGACGGGCGTGTCCATCTGAGCTCCGCAGGTGTGATTGGCTGCCAGCACGTCCCGGGGCGGAGCCCCCCGGTGGAATGAATTAAGGCTGAGTCCCGTTAGCCGCGACGCCCCCATCCCCGGCGGGAGTGCCTGGCCCGGGGCTCCTGGGGGGACCGGCTCCGGCCCGGCAGGCCTCCTGGGGCCCACGCCAGCCTGCACTGCTCGCCCGCCGTGGGCTCGATCCCGGCGCGGGGCCACCATGGAGCTGGGCAGCTGCTTCAAGACCTACGAGGACTTCAAGGAGTGCTTCAGCGCCTACAAGAAGGAGACCCGGTGCTCCTTCATCCTCAGGGACTGCGTCTCGGTCCGCTTCCACAACCTCAACCACGGCACCCGCATCCGCGAGGACATCCTGTAAGGGCGGGGCTCGGGCGGGGCCGGAGGCCGGGGCAGGGGCCGGGCGCACCCCCCGGAGGGCCGCCTGGTGGAGGAGGAGGAGGAGGAGGATTGGAGGAGGAGGAGGAGGAGGAGGAGGAGGAGGGAGCGCACTGGGGCCCCCGGTCCCCGAGCATCCCCCTGGCACGGTTTGAGCACCTGCAGGGGAGCCTCGCGAGACGATGGCAAGAGCCTCCCCGTGGCACCGCGTTTTCACCACCCACTTCATCTTCACCACCTTTGCTCCCATCGCTCTTCCGACTGTCGTAATAACTACGATTTGTTGCTTTTTCTGTTGGTGTTGGTGTTTTTTTGGAGTTTTTTTTTTCTCCCCTTCCCACACACCTGCAGTATCCCTTCACAAAGCATGGCCTTCGCAAACGATTGGGGGGAAGGTGGGGGAGAAAAAAAAAGATCTAGGCAGGAATTTCATCTTCATCAGGCTCATCTGAAAGCAGTAGCACCGTCAATTGCTGACTCTCCTTCATTCATTTTGTAAATGGTTCCCCGAGATGAGCAACCGTTTTCCAAAATAATTCTTCCGTCTCCTCTTTTCCATGTCCCAGGCAGCAGTGCTCTCTCCTCTGAGCATGCTTTACCCCCATCCCTCGGGCTGTGTGGAAAAGTATAGCTAAATGTCATTTTTCCTGTTTGGCAGGCAGAGGAAGGGCTGGGCAGGCAGAAGCCAACAGGAGGGTTGACAATTCAAGTGCTGGGCCTGAGAGATAGTACAGCGGGTAGGGCATTTGCCTTAAATGTGGCTGATCCAGGTTCAATCCCCGGCATCGCAGGTTTGATCCCTGGCATCCCATATGGTCCCCCAAGCACTGCCAGGGGTAATTCCTGAGTGCAGAGCTAGGATAACCCAAGCATTCGCCAGGTATGACCCAAAAAGAAAAAAAAATTCAAGTGCTTTCAAGACGTTGGTGAAACAACCCCTTGTCAGTGAGCTTTACTTTTCCTTTTACTGGAAGAAAAGGAATTTTGAGATAAGCTTAAGACCAGGCCTTTGAGCCTGGGGCCACCCAGGCCCCCCCGTACCCCAGCTCTGAACCCTCACCCCACTCCTCCGTGACTGCCTGTGAAAATGAGGTCCACTCTTGACAGAGTTGGGGGCAGGCGTCAGAAATGCAGGCCCTCTCTGAAGTTGTGTACCTTTCAGAAACTGAAAATCAGCACACATTTGAACACACATCGCTTGGGGGCGCCTCTGAGTCCAAGTGTCACCTCAGGGTAGGTTGTTTGGCCGGAGATTCTCACGCAGGGAGGCAGGCTTTCTGTTCTTTATACTCTGCTGACACCGGTGCTGTGCTGAGCACAGATCCCAAAGAGGAGCCAGTCCCCAGATCTGCCCTCATGCTGCTTCAAACTGGCCACTGGGGGCCAGACCCCTAGTCCCGACAGCAGGACCCTTGCCTTGCACGTGGCAGACCCAGGTTTAACCCCCACCACCACATGTGATCCCCCTGAGCCCTCCATGAGTGATCCTTGAGCACTGCCAGGTGTGGCCCCAAAACCAAAAATAAGCAAATAAATTGGCATAGAGTTGCACCCAGATAAATCGACTAATTAATGCCTTGAAAGAGAAGTCAGGGGGCTGGAGCAATAGCACAGCGGGTAGGGCATTTGCCTTGCACGCAGCCAACCCAGGTTCGATTCCCAGCATCCCATAGGGTCCCCTGAGCACTGCCGGGGTGATTCCTGAGTGCAGAGCCAGGAGTAACCCCTGTGCATTGCCGGGTGTGACCCCCCCCAAAAAAGAAAGAGAAATTGGGGGCCAGAGAGGCAGGAGTGGGGTGAAGGTGCTTTTCTTGCATGTGGACACCCCCAGTTCAATCTCCAGCACTGTATAAGTCCCCTAAGCACCACCAGGAATGATTCCTGAGCACAGCCAGGAGTAAACCCTGAGCACCACTGGCTGAAACTCATAAAAGAGAGAGAAGAAAGAGAGAGAGAGAGAGAGAGAGAGAGAGAGAGAGAGAGCAAAAGGAGCAAATACTTGAGAACAGGGGGCAAAGTTTAATGCCAGAAACAATGTTTTATTTCCCAGGAATGCTTACAAAGGATCAGAGCTGGAGGTCAGTGGTAAATTAATTACCTTGGGAGGGCAGGGAAGTTTGACCCCGAGGTGTGTGCAGTGCAATGCAGAAGTGTGACAGCAGGGGGCATGTTGGAGAAACGGGAAACGGTCCCATGGTGTCCCGTGTCCCCCGCCCCCCCCCCCCCCATGCTCTGCTTAGCTGGCGCTGAAGGCAGTTTTGCGGTCACAGTCCCAGACCGCTAAAGGTCTTTAGGTACCACTGTGAGGTGTTTGGATCTTATCTTAAGCTGGTAACATCTTTCTAAGCAGCAAGGATAAAGAATAACTAAGCCGGGCTGGAGCAACAGCACAGCAGGTAGGGCGTTTGTCTTGCACACAGCCGACCCGGGTTCGATTCCCAGCATCCCATAGGGTCTCCCGAGCACCATCAGGAGTAATTCCTGAGTGCAGAGTGCAGAGTCAGGAGTAACCCCTGTGCACCGCTGGGTGTGATGCAAAAAAAAAAAATTGTTAAAAAGAATAACTAATCAAAAAGGAATGCAGGCTTGGGAACTGCCAACCAACTGTCTGGGTCAGATAAGACAGGAGCTCCCACTGCCCTTGGGCCAAAGTCCAGGGCGCTCCCCTGGCTCTCCTGCCCATCGTCCGGCTCACACACACCCCTTCGTGTTGCACAATGTGCCCCACCCCCTCTGCCCCACTTAGCACTCTATCGCACCCCACCCAGCCCCAACTTCCTGGCCCTGGCCACTGACGGTGGCCTGGCCCATCCTCAGCTCAGTCTCCCCGAACACCAGTCTCTGCCTCTCTCATCTCTACCAGAATGCGTCCCCTCCACTTCCTTGAGTTCCCTTTCAAGGGGCCGGAGAGAGTACAGCCGGGCAGGCGCTTGCCCTGCATGCAGCCGACCCAGGTTTGATGCTCGGCACCCCGTCTGGTCCTGTCGAGCCCCACTAGGAGTGATCCCCAAGTTCAGAGTCAGAAGGAAGTCCTGAGCACAGCCAGGTGTGACCTAAATTCCCCCAATGCACAAAAAAATAACATCGTTTCTATATGCAAAGATTTTTAGGCCAAACCGAAGCAATGATATATAAGAAGTAATGATATAGTGGTTTAAAAGAGACATGTTTTTATACATAGCTTATATTCCTGTGCAGGCCGAGGTTATTCTTGAGCTCTGGGTTAACTTCCCCCATAGTTGCCCTTCCTTCAGATCCCAGCGTATCTTCTAGGTAACCTGAAGATTCGGCTCCTGACTTCCCTGCCTTCTGACAGCCTGTCCCAGCTCCCTTTACATTGGTGATGAGAAAACGGGCTGGAGCGATAGTACAGTGGGGAGGGCGTTTGCCTTGCATGTGGCTGACCTGGGTTCGATTCTCAGCATCCCATATGGTCTCCTGAGCACTTCCAGGAGTAATTCCTGAGTGGATGAGCCAGGAGTAACCCCTGTGCATCGCCGGGTATGACCCAAAAAGAAAAAAAATTGACAGGTTTTCCACTGATAGAGGTATAGGTACATGGGTATATAAACATGGTTTGGTAGATATTGATAGATAGAGCTTTATGTGGCTAGCTATGTGTAGTTATGTAATGAATTATTTTTAAAATAACTAAGTGTCTATGGGGCCGGAACTATAGTACACTTGTCTTGTATGTGTCCAACCCAGGTTCAATCCCTGCTCTCCTGCCCCAAACTCCTCCAGGAGTCTCGATCCTTGAGTGCAGAGCCAGGAGTAAGCCCTGAGCACCACTCAGTGTGGCCCCCAAACCGAAAGATAGTGTCCAAATTTCAATGCTCCTGAGGGCCAGCAAGTACAGCGGGTAGAGCACTTGCCTTGCATGTGGCAGACCCTGGTTTAATCCCCAGCATCCCATATGGTCCCCTAAGCCCATCAGGAGTGATCCCTGAGTGCAGAGCTAAGAGTAATCCCTGAGCATTGCCAGGTTTGTGTCCCCCCAAAAAGGGGGGAAATGTTCCTTCCACCTGGCTATTTATACTGATTTCAGTTCTGGGCTGGAGCGATAGCACAGCGGGTAGGGCGTTTCCCTAGCGTGCAGCCGGCCTGGCTGAGCCGGGTTCGATTCCTCCGCCCCTCTCGGGAAGCCCAGCAAGCTACCAAGAGTATCTCGCCCGCGCGGCAAAGCCTGGCAAGCTACCCGTGATGTATTCAATATGCCAAACACAGTAACAACAAGTCTCACAATGGAGATATTACTGGGCCTGCTCGAGCAAATCGATGAACAACAAGAGGACAGTGCTACAGTGCTACAGTTCTGGGAATGCTCAGGGGTCATGCCTGGTCATGCCCGGGGACCACGTAGGCTCCTAGGCATTGAGCCAGAGTTGATGACATGCAAGGCAGGTGCCTTCCCCACTGAACGATCTCTCCAGCCCCTCACTTCCTCCTTTGGGTGAGGTTAATTTGTTTTCAGTCATTGTTTACAGAAAACTTGTTTCTTGCAACTGCGTAGGTAGAATGTTGGCACCCCTTACCCTCTTGGAGCCTCTCTCTGTAGTCAGGGAAACAAACATTAAAATAATCACAGAAAGAACTAATTAAAGTAGGAGGAGAGATATAGTACAGAGAAGAGGGTGTTGACCTTGTACACAGCCAACCTGGGTTCAATTCCTGACACCCCAGATGGTCTCTCAAGCCCACCAGCATGGTTGCCTGAGCATCGCCAGGCGTGGCCCCCAAACAAACCGAAGCAAAGAATAGAAGGGAGAGGGACTGAGAGATAGTAGGGGCTCTTGCAGATGCTACGTGGCTGACTCTGGCTCAACTGATTCCCAGCACGCACTATGGTCCCCTGAGAACCACCGGGAGTGACCCTTGATCACAGAGTCAGGAGTAAGCCCTGATCATAGCTGGGTATGGCCGATACAGCCTCGCCACCCTGAAAAGCAGCGGGCCAGTTCTTGAGACTAAAGCAGAAA